GCCTCCTGGCTGCTGCACCTGGTTCCCCTCTCTTCTCCTCCCCCCTCTCCCAAAATGGTCCAGCTGAGGGGCATGTCCACTCTGGACCCTCCCAGAGGTCCCTGCCTCTGACTATGTTCTCCCACATATCTACAATAACCCTTCTCCCATGCCATATCTAGGAGCAGCCATGTTCCTTTTCTTTTCCTTTTTCTTTCTTTTTTCATTCAAGGAGCACGGAGAAACCATTTGCAGTGCTGATGGGAATGATATGGTGGTGGTTTAAAAATTAAATGTGGCTTCCCACATGGCCTACACTGGGTATTATCTTAGTGAAAACTTGTTCACACGGAAAACTGCACACCAGTATTTGTAGTGGCCCTATTCCTAATAGCCCTGCAATGTAGATAACCCAAGTAACTTTTGACAGACGCACAGTTAAGCAGAAACTATTTTATCTTCATATTGTACAAGGCAACTCAGCAGCAGCAACAACAACAACAAAGGAAATGGCATGTTAGATGTAAAGAATTGGAGGCTCTGCAAGGCAGGTCCACTAATAAACGAATCCAGGTTGGGCGGTGGTGGCGCATGCCTTTAATCCCAGCACTCTGGAGGCAGAGGCAGGCGGATGTCTGTGAGTTCAAGGCCAGGCTGGACCGGCAGCCTCCAAAACAATACAGAGAAAACCTGTCTCATAAAACAAAAAACAAACAAACAAAAAAAAAAAGGATGACCAGACTGAATGGAACATTCGCTGCATCTCCCGCACATGCTTGAGACCAGGTGAGACGCAGATTTCTTGGATACCTACTTACGTTTGGCATTGCCATTGCCAGGTTCAGTGTAGCAGTCACAGAAACTGTGTTTCTTCACAGTGAAAGTGAACAAGCTTTAAAGAACAAAGCTGTAAGGCACTGGTGTCGAGGAGAGGCAACAGACAGAAGAGGAGCTGCCAACCCCGCAGGGGATGAGATGAAGGAAGCCAGGCAGCGCAGGAATCACAGCAGATGTGTGTCAAAGACCTCATTCTGCAGCTGAGCGCCATCCCTCTGCCAGTGAGCATGGGCACAGGATAACCGAGTGAACCGGGCATACTCACAAAACAAAGAATTATAGGCATGAAATGTAACTATCTGTTCAGCTAGTAATGTCTCTAACTCAACACTCTAAATCAAGCCAATTGTAACTTCCACAATGGACAGTAAGTTTTTTAAAAAGATTATTTATTATGAATACAACATCCTGCCTCTATGTATGTCTGCAAGCCAGGAGAGGGCAGCAGATCTCATTACGGATGGTTGTGAGCCACCATGTGGTTGCTGGGAATTGAACTCAGGACCTCTGGAAGAGCAGTCAGTGCTCTTAACCTCTGAGCCATCTCTCCAGCCCCCAGTAAGGTTTTTTTTTAAATCTCTAAATTTTTATGGATATCTTGATAGAAAATAACCACTAAATGAAGCAGGCATTTAAAGCATTTATTTTTAAAAGCCAGAATAGCACACTGTATTTGCTCACATGCTCCTGTTTGTTACTGGATGTTTTCAGCAAACAGCTCTCTCTGAGCATCTTCATCTGCTTTAATCAGCCTCCAGAGTGGCACCTGCTGCTGCTGGCAATCACAGCAGCCTGTCGGGGGTAAAGTACAGGAGAGAAAAGTCACCATGTACACCTCACAGGTCAGAAATGCTGTGTGACACTTGAGCCGGGTAAACACGCATTTGTCTGGGATTCGGTGACAGCCAAATTTCCAGACACACTCTAAAATGAAGAATGACATAATCACACCAGTTTTTTTTAGCTATTAATCAACTAATTAAATGGTGTATTATTTAAAAATACCCAATCCTAGCTTATATGGGAGGCATTTTATTTTACTGTTTTTGAGGCGTGTGGGGACATGAATATGCATGGTATATGTACGGAGGTTGCAGGAGTTGTTCTTTCTACCATGTGGGTCCCAGGGTGGAGATCAGGGTGTCTGTCAGCCTTGGTAGCAGGTGCCTGTACTCATAGAGCCATCTTGCCACCCTTCATGGAAAGTTTTTAACTGAGGAAGATGGTATTTCTTAAAAATTGTAATACATTTGAGCCGGGCGGTGGTGGCACATGCCTTCAATCCCAGAACTCAGGAGGCAGAGGCAGGCAGATCTCTGTGAGTTTGAGACCAGCCTGGTCTACAAAGAGCAAGTTCCAGGACAGTCTCCAAAGCCACAGGAAACCCTGTCTCGAAAAACAGTTGAGCATTCAGTAAATATCTTAATGAGGTTTTGGGTGCTACTCAGCATCATCTTCAGAAGATGAGGGAAAATAAGATATAGTCATTTGTCCATTTTCTTAAAGAGAAAACCCTTCTGATTTAACAAACATCTTCTATGAGGTTCCTGGAGAAGTATTATAGAATTCCCCACCCAGAGAAAAATGGCATTTTGATCCACTTTGTAGGGGAAGCCTCTGATAGACAAAATCTGGAACTAAGTAGCCAATGAAAACAAAGGATGGGCACGGTGACCAGATGGAAGTTAGGCGAAGAACGCAGAATGAAGGCTGCATGATGCACAGACAAGCAGGGCACATCTCTAGGGAAACAGGCAGAGTGCCGGGCATCCAAAGACGTGGAAATGCAGGCAGAGAAAAGGACAGAAAAAAATGGCTGGGGTCAGAGCAGCACCTTGAACACATCACTAAAGATTTTAACTTTATTGTAGATATGAAGGTAATACTACATGCTGATGCATCCCAGTTACTAAAAGAAATTACCTAGAAAAATGAAGTTCATTGTGAGACAGACCAGCTACAGGTGCTTATGTCATAAATCTGAATAAAGCATTTCCAACCTTGGGATATGAGGAAATAGTTACACTCAGGGAAAGCAAATCTAAATTGAATTTTCTTCTTTTAGAAACAGGATATCAAAATAATGGCCCCTTGGATACAGGCTAGGTTAACATACAGAGAACAGTGGCTTCTCTAATCTTCTAAAAGAGAAAGGGATTCTACCTATCTTCCTATAGAGCAGTGTCCACTCTATACCTTCCTACAGAGTAGGCTCCTCCATAGCCTCCTACAGAGCGTGGCTCCTACATATATTCCTATAAAGAAACAGAAACCTAGAGGTGTGAGGACTAGACCACAGTGTCCAAGTTCTGTTCTGTTAAAAGAAGAGTCCAGACTTTGAGGGAGGTTCTCAGATTCAGGGCCAGGCTTCCTTCAGTGTTAACTGACACTCAGGAACAATATGTGGTTGTCTAGTAATCCCTGAAAAGGGGCTTTGGTTTAGCACGGGGAAAGAGAATAGCTTACTTGTAAAATATTTTGTTTGATTTGGAGACAAGGTCTTCCATATAGCCCAGGCTGGCTTTGAACTTACCAAATAGTCAAAATGACCTTGAACTCCAATCTTCCTACCTCCACCTTCCAAGAGCTAGAATTATAGGTTTGTGTCACCATGTCATGTCAAAGCCCATATCTGAATAATCAAATATTAAAATCATGCATTTCCCCAAGAGATGCCTTGAGGAAATCTGTTTTTGTTCATGGAGGGAAAAATGTGTAATTCTCAATTGCAAATAAATGTATTTGAAAACCTGAAGATTCAACAATTTTTCACTTAACTCTTCCCAATATGATTACCTTTTAAATTAACACAGCAAGAGACATTTCAGACCTATATGACAGCTACAGCCTTAAAATAATGAAGACAGAACTAGTCTATTATATGTAGCAATAAACAGTTTTTCTTGAGGACAGCCAAACAAATAAAATAAATACAGCTATTAATGAGGGCAATGAGCCGGGCGTTGGTGGCGCACGCCTTTAATCCCAGCACTCGGGAGGCAGAGGCAGGCGGATCTCTGTGAGTTCGAGGCCAGGCTGGACCGACAGCCTCCAAAACAGAGAAACCCTGTCTCGTAAACCCCCCCCAAATAAGGGCAATGATTCACATTAAAACAGAAGATCTACCTAGTCCTATCCCTGAAGGATTATAATCCAACAGGGCCTGAAGCTCTCTAAACACACATATTATTCCTAGGGCTGGAGAAATGGCTTAGTGGTTAAGAGCAATGGCTGTTCTTCCAGAAGACCTGGGTTCAATTTCCATCACTCACATGGCAGCTCATAGGCACCTATAACTTTAGTTCTAGGGGATTCAATGCCCTCTGTTAGCCTCCTTAGGAACCATATGCAAGTGTTAAATAAACACACATGAAGGCAAAACTCCCCCACATGTAAAATAAAAAAATAAAATGTAAAAATATTTCTAATTAAAATCAGCCTTAAGAAATGCTATTCCTTTAATGAGATATACCTGTTAATTTGCTTATAAAGAGCAGAGAACTATTTATAACAAAAATGTATAGCTTTTCAAGAAGAAAAAATATTTGATGAGAGAAAAACATGAAAACAAAAGAAAAATGCCTAGAAGTATTAATATTGAGCTGCAGAAAACTTGAGAAGTTGCACAGTGCTCTACAGTAGGACAGTGAGAAAGTTACAGACAAGATTCTTCTCATGTGTTCACTCTGCAAAGCATATTCCAAGTGGGTACTAAAGAAGTCAAGCTTGCCAGTAAACCATGGGTGTAATGGGATATTGTGTAAGAGACACAGCCAGCAGCCAGATGATGCAGAGTCTTAGTATTCAAGTTCATCTAATCCTAAACTTCATGGGCCGGCAACACAGATTTACTGAAGATGTATAGGACAAAACAAAGCCCTAGGGATGACTCAAGACTCAGACCGGGTTGTCTTGAAGCTGATGCAAGTTGCTCGGGCACCTATAGTGTACACTGATGGTCCACCGTAATACCCATAATAATCAGGACCTTTGCACTTTGCAGCTTGAGCAATCTCCTTTCTCTGGGCTTCAGGCTCCAAACTTGTAAAGGGACAGAGTTCAACCTGATAATCCCGGAGGATGATTTCAAACAATCTCACATGGATTTAGAAACAAAAGTACAATCTGTCAGTACACAAGTGGTGTTTCAGTCCCAAGCCCCAAAAAGAATAAAGCCAAGCCAATTTTTAATAGTCCAGTTTGCATATAATTATTTAATTCCATCTTTTACTTAGTCATAAACATTACAAAACATAGGAAAATCAAAACTTCTCCAAAGTGATTCAGTTTGTGGAGCAGAATCCTTGGAGATTGAAGCATATAATATAGTGTAGTATAGACTATATGTATTTAGCAACTCAATTACAGACTGACCAATGCAATGGAAAGGTAGGCAACCTGAAGATGTAAAGAGATGGAACTTCACCTTCTGCGAGTAGAAAAGTGAGTCGGTTACACACATTGAAAGATCTTTGAAAGTGTGCTTCCTCCTTTAAAATGGCAGTGATTACCCATCCACAGTCACACTGCACGCCAGTATCTATGTCCATCATGACATCTATGTGGTTGGTTCTGAGGTCTACCTTGGGCCTGAGCAGTCGGAATTTTCCTAGTAACATCCCCAGCCTTTACCCCTAGCTGTAGCCCATCCATCCTGAGATGCCCTGTGTCTGTGGCTGGGGAAGCAGGTGTGGGCAAGTGACTCTGGAGAAACTCTCTGAAAACAAGAAAAAGGACTAGATGCAAAGACTGAAGTCAGGAACCACAGATGGTGTGCACTCCTCACATTTTATGCAAGCATGAGTAAGATTCAAAATGACTAATACTTGGGCTTCTGAACATTCTGGAATGGCGTCTGAGTTCTCTCCCTGTCCTCCCCTCTCTGTGAACAGAGGGGACAGGTACAGAAGGAGATACACCAGAGAGAGCTGGCTTTATGCCGATCTTGCTCCAGAAACACTTAGGAAGAGCTGATGACAGGATTGGGTGCTTCCAAACACGATCCTGAGAACTGAATCTCAGTCAAATATGCTATTGTTTCCGTTTGTTAAGATTCTCAGAGCTACTGACCAATGCGGGCTGTAATGGGGTATGCTACACACAGCAAAGGTTCTGCTCTCACTGAGACAGTCTGTGGCTGTCAGGGTAAGTTACTAGGTTCTAGTGTGCATGGAGGAGTGGCCACCAGTGAGCCACACCCGTAAAGGCAGGCCCTGAAGCAGGTGGCTGCTGTCCTTGTGATCCACACATCACTTCAATTTGCCTCTTTTATCTTTCCATCCTTGTAAGAAACGATGAAGCAATTTCTTTCAGCACTAGGGAAACTCAAAACGGTTACTCTTGAACGTTCGCTTGCCTCCCTGTCGTTTACGGGCACGTGCAGTCTAATAACAGAAGAGCAAGTTGTCACACTGCAACAGTGAACACTGGCGTGCAGGTTACATGTGTTTCCTAAGCACTACAGTCTTCCACGTCGCTGATGTCTATCCAGGTCTGAGGGGCTGGCTCCCTATGGCGCTCCTCTAGGCAGATGCTTCTGCAGAGATCAGCGGTTCAAAGTCTAAACCTTCTGGTCCAAGGTCAAAGTGGTCCAGGTTCCACTCTTTAGGAAACACCACGCTGGGTCTCAGTGGTTGGTCTTGAGAGATTGGGACCAGATAGATCACTCTTAGGTAAGAGTGGAGTCAGAGAGAACTCGGTTTCCATAGAAATAGAAAGTGCTGCCCCCTTTAAATCGCAGTCTCTGTGGAGTAAAGTATCTTCCTAAAGAGGTAGAAATAATAGGGGGCGTGGGTTGTGGATGCCCTTGTTCAGTAACAACGAGCACTCTAGCTTTAAGGGCTTAAAATGGACTGACTCCACTCATCTCTCTGATTTTTTCATAAGTGAGCCAGAACACCATTGACCAAGGGGTCTGAAAGATTAACCAAAGAGATTAGTGCATATTTCAAAGCAATCATAAATATTCTACATACGACATATACATCTGAGTGACAGTCATTTTCAACCCACTTGTAGAGAAACAAAAGGCCCCACAAATCTCTTGTTGTTCACCTTTGCAAATCACCTTGAAACTTACAAAGCATTTTCATGTCATATTGATCACAGATTCCCCCTAAGAACGTCTTTCAATAGTAAAAAAAAAAAAAAAAAGAAAGAAAGAAAAGGTATCTCCATTTTACAGATGCGAATGCTGAGGTTTAGTAGTCCACTGCCCACTGACGCAGTGTGGGAACTAGACCACAGGGTTCTTTCTACTGCCCGTTCCTAGCTACAAGGCTATGATGTGGGATGCCCTGACCACTGTACCAAACTACTCTCCCATTAGACACTTGGGAAGGAAGGAAGACAAAGATCAGCCTATAAGCATTGGGTCATAAAAGTCTCAGTCCCAGATGTCTTGCAATCTGCACAAGCTAGTTCACACTACATAGAAAAAGAAGCTCCAGGCCCAGGATGGCTTGACCTTAATCTGAATGACCACATCCACAGGAAACGGGAAGGATGTGGATGGAGACACCAACACTAGCAAGAGGGGATTATCGGAGAAAGGGCGCTTATTTTGGTTCTCATCAGTGCCTAGAGAGGATTTCCATTGCATAGCAGAGTTAACCAGCTAGAATCTCAACAGAATTTGCTAAGTGTGTTTGTAAAGGAAGGCAGATGCCTATATGTTTGGAATTTCTCAACTTGTTACATTGGCAGACTGAGGATTTACCAAGTAGGGATGAGCTGGTCTGCACAGACGCAGTTGAAAGCATAAGCACGAAGCTGTGAATGTGTCATATTCCCATGCCATCAGAAATGGGGCAGTAGAGATCAAAGAGGCAGGACCCTGCAGCCATCTCTGACAGTATGGTTGTGCCAGTTTTGCTCTTCATATGAATGCAATGTTACAGGTTTGAAATTGCAGGGGCTGGATCAAGCAACACGCCTTCTCGGCCTGGGGGGAAGGACTGTGCTGGGATTTAGTGGGGGTATTGAGTGAGTTCAAGAGAGAGATGTGTAGCCAAAGCCAGTACTCATTGAGCTCCCCACCAGCGCAGCTGTGACTATTGTCACATATGGTCCTGTGCTGCTGTCCTGGATTTGTCTTGAGCCTACTGAAGTCCTTTCCCATTCCTGTTTCTGCAGAGCTGGATACTCAAAAGCTCTCTTGGCTTGATATTCTTCCATCTTGAATTTACAAATGAGCCCCTCCCACTGTGATGCTTAGCAAGTGACCTTCCAGTGCTAACTTGGGCTCACATAGGGCTTGAATTTATGAAGAACAGAGGCATCAGTGGCCTGTGTGATTTACCAAATGTGTTGTGTGGTGAGAAAACACCAGCTATTCTGACCGGATTCTGAGCGCCAGTGAAGTCTGCAGCATACTTGAAGGTGCTTATGAGTCAGATGTCTGGGTTCAATTGCACACAGCAGCAACCACCAGGGCAACAGCAAGCACCCTGATGATGCTTGCTGGGTGGGGAGCCTCCATCTCTATACACCACTGCCTTCTAGTTTCTGTTTGTGTACTGTGTGCATGTGCGCACACGTGTGTGTGTGTGTGTGTGTGTGTGTGTGTGTGTGTGTGTATGTGGAAGGTGCCAAGGTTGATGTCAGGAATCATCCTCAACCGCTCTTCTGCCTTATTCAGTGAGGCAGGGTCTCTCAATCAAACCCAGAGCTCGAAGATATGGCTAGTTTGGCTAGCTCAGTTATTCTGAGGATCCCTACCTCTGCATTCAGACAGGAATTACAGCAAGCCACCACACACAGATGACATTCACATGGGTTCCAGGGATTTGAACTTTGGGCCACACACTTCTGTGGGAAGCACTTAACCACAGAGCCATCTCCCCAGCCCCCATCTCTCTCTATTATTTCAAGATTTCTATCAACTAGCTAAAAGATCTTGAGGAACTCAGTACACTGAACCAGTAAAGGGGAGTCAGGGTCAAACAGCTGAAAGGACAGTTCTGTTCTGTCCTTTATTTATTTCCTCCTCTATAAGAGGGATATGACAGCGGCTCACTGTATAGGTAGCTGGGAGAGTTCAATGGGCTAAGACATGGTTGGGATGAGAAGAGCACTAGAGATGCCCAAACTGAATCACTGATGCTCACCGTTTTTTATGACTGTAACTACCTATTTCTCATTGTCATTTCCTTTATTCTAGAGTGTGGCCAGTACCCTTATAGCTCCTTCTCTGTGTAAGCCCTGCCCCCCAAATCTATAGTTACAGTAAGAAATATTCAATTTTAAAATGATTTTAGGCAAATCAAGACCACCAAGATAAGGCGGGGTTTCATTGTTTGAATTAGTTTTAGTACATCGTGTATCACGGTCTGAATCTAAAGTTGTTTCCCCCAAAGGCTTATATGCTGAAGGGTTGGTCCCCAGCTGATGACACTACTGAAAGTCGATGGGATCGTGGAGGCACTGGCCGTATCAGCAGACAGTTAATCCATTCATTAGGAGGTCGCCTGGTTGGAGAAAGTAGGTCACCGGGGTGCCATGAGCGTGTGTGTGTTGTATGTATGTGTGTGCAGGTGTGCTCACCAGGGTACGTGTGTGAGAGGCCAGAGGTCAACATTGGGTGGGTGTCTCCCTCAACTGCTTCTCTATCTTGTTTTTTGAGATACAGTCTGTCAATGAGACCTGGAGCTCACCCTTTGTGCTAGACTAGCCAGCTGATGAGGCCCTGAGGTGCATCTGCTCACATCCCCCAGGGCTTGCGTTATAGGTGCATAACCACTGCACCTGATCTTTACATAGGTGCTGGGGATCCAACTCTGGTCCTCAGGTTTACACAGCAAGCACTTTACCCGCTTAATCCATCTCTTCAACCCCTGGACAGGGTGTGTGCCAGGTAGTCTATGAAAGGTGGACCTGTCCCTGTCCCTTTCCTGTAGAGATCCCTGGACAGGTGTGTGTGTGTGTGTGTGTGTGTGTGTGTGTGTGTGTGTGTGTGTGTGTGTGTGTGTGTGTGTGTGTGGTTGTCTTTGAATGCACCTGTCCCTGGCTCCTTCCTGTAGAGAGCTCTGCTACTTCCTGGACAGGCGGTGTGTTTGTATGGGGAAATCTTTGAAGGGTGCACCAGTCTCTGGTCTCTTCCTATAGAGAGCTCTCTATTTCCTGGACAGGGTGGGTGTAGGGGAATCTCTGAAGGGTGCACCAGTCCCTGGTCTCTTCCTGTAGAGAGCTCTCTACTTCCTGGTCACCATAAAGCAAGCAGCTTTGCTCTGTCTGCCACACGCTCCTGCCAGGATGCTCTGCCTCAGCAGCCCACAAAAGCAGTGGAGTCAGCTGACAATAGACTGGAGCCTCTGAAACCCGAGACCAAATAAACGCTTCTCTTCTTCCAGGTGGTTTTGTCCAGTGTTGGGCATTTTGTTACAGCAATGAAAGGCCGACTGACATACTTATGTGGGACATTGTTAAGAGTTTTGCTGTCAATTGTCTTGTTAATAACCAGCTACTATCCCACAGTGACAGAAAGCACATATTCCCAGTTGCATCTGTAAGTGGTCATTTCTTATACTTCCTGCATCTCCATCGCTACACTCCCCTCTAAGATACTGGTTATTGATATAATTCTGATAGGAAGGCAGTCTTCTAAATATCCGTCTATTCGGATGATCTACTGGCACCCCAAAATTATCAAAAGTTAAACTGATTGAATCTACAGTTTTCTTGCCCTGCAGATGATGCCCATCTGATCAAACTGTGGTCAGCGTCCATTTCCCAGGGCCTGTTTTTCTCCTTGTCTTCTCTGGACATTCTGCTGTCCTCAGCTAATCAGGCTCCTGTACCCCAAATACCCACTAAAGGTGCCCCTCTTCCCTCACTGCCAGGCTTCCATCTGCTCCCCCATTAAGCTTCACTGATCACCCCAGGGAAGATAGGTTTTAGATTTCAAAGTGCAGGAGCAGCTAAGCCTCAGGCTTTCCCAGCGTGCATGGTTCCCTGGGCCCTCTCCAGCTGCTCTCAGCCTCTGCCGGCCCCTTCCCACCCCCTTCAGATCTCTGCTTCTTGGCCAGTGGGCTCCCTACTCCCTACCCTTAGGCTCTCAGTATATCCCCACCCCTCGCTGGAGAATGTTTTTCTCACTATTTTTCATAGCCTAGCCTTAGTCACTCTTCAAATCTCAGTTCAAAAGTCTCTTCTAGGGAGGCCTTTTCAATTCCCCAGTGTAGACTGGACTGTGTATCTCTATTGCACTAGCAATTCTTCCTGTGAACTCACCATTCATAGTTTCTTATTCCAGGCCAAGCTCTTACTACAAGGCATGCACTCAAACATGGGCAAATGGAGATATTTATGTATTATTATTATGTTATGCAGAGTTTCCATTGCGTTTCTAATCCCACAGCTCATCCACATTTTCAAATATTTATAAGTACTTACAAAAGTGCCTTGCTTTTAGTTATACTTATTACATTACTAATCTATCTAATGCCATGTATCACTGCGCTGTGGTGAATGACCGAAGCATTGGCACAACGCCTTCTTCTAAAGCAGGGGCTCTGTGGTAACAACTCCTGGATAACTGTCACCAAAATAACAAGTTTCGAAGCAGCAAGATTTCCTCAGAAGAGCTCCATTCTGAAATCTGTGTATCCACCCCAGGCCTGGGTGTGTTAGATAAGAAGATTAGTAAAGGCTTCATATCACACACAGCAAATAAGTAAATAGTAAATAGCGTGTCTTTATCTACTTTTGTAACAGACTGTCGGCCTACTTATTAATAAATAATGGTTCATTTAGCCTTGTCAAGAAAGGAAACACGATTCTAAGGATAGATGAAAAGAAAAATACCTTAAAAAGTATTTTAAAAACAAACGATGGATGGGCCTGTTGTGCAGGCAGGGCCAAGCCCTACACCAGAAGAGAAAATGAAAGTATCTGTAAGGTACATGTAATTTAAATATAAAGAAAACAACAATAAAGGAAAAAAACAAAAGACCCATCTTTACCATTCTCAGCCAGGATGGCAGGAAGCCTTTATACAGGCTCAGGAAGCCTTCCCCCTGGACAGCCTGGATCAAGCAGTCAGTTGATGACTTATACAGAAGTCCCCTGCAAAGAGAAAGAGAGCGTTGTCACATTTCCTCCTGTGTAAACAGAGATGTAAATAAAGCCATCTAGGGAAGGGCATCATCCAATGCCGTCTGCTTGTTCAGAACAAACAGCATCAGCGGTCCACTGACGTAGGTATCTTCATTTGAGCGCGGGCATTTCCCATCGCCCCTTGGTCCTCTCTGAGCTCACTGTAGCCCACCTCTTCCAAAGAGAACACTGTTTTATACTACATCACATCCTGTTACCTGAGAGCCCAGGCTTTGCATAGAGCAGTCTGCAAAATTCTTAGCAGAGTAAGCTTTCAAAACACTTGGAAAACAATAAAGTCACAGTGACTACTTTGTGTCTAAATAATATGACCGTTCACTCAAATCCCTGAAGACTTAATATTTGTGCATCAGACAAGGAGAAGGTAATTTCACCTGAACAACTGACCCACTGGACAGGAAGACACACGAACACATCTCTGTCACATAGACCTACAAGAAAGCATCTTTGAAAGACCAAGAGTGTGGCTGACACTCCAGCACGTGGGCACTAAGGGCTTCATCTACCTTCCTTGCTTGTCTCGGGGTTGGTTCATTATTCGGCTTTTAATGACATCAGCTGGTGTTCCCAGAATAGAAGCTACGAGTCCAGAGCACAAACTGTAGACACAAAGAAATGAAATTTAAAGAGAGTATTTAAATAGCTGCCAAATTCTAAGAAAGGGCATTTAATATTGAAAAAGAATGCTGTGCTAAGTATCCTTAAAATTAATGCTTAATCTGTAAAGGGACAGGAAATACTTAAAGCCCAGCCAGCCAGCAGATATGTGCCTCCCGGTGCCAGGCTTCCTTTCGTGTAGGAAATGAGAGAGAGTTTGGGAAGTGAGTGTGCTTGTCAGGCAAGCTTGGTGAACCGCAGTGGAAGGACAGTCCTCTGACCTCCACACGCCTGCAGGGGCATGCACACACCCGCATGGCACACATTCCCACACTCACACCCCGGACCTCCACCCACACCACTACTACTGTAATAAATGGTTAAGGAGATCCCGTTTGGGGCACATCTAAGCTCTACTCAGGGAGAGGCCAAGGAAAAATGGCTCTCTTCAGATTCTGACCAGTGCTAGGAAAAAGCAAAATGGGCAGATGTGACAGGTGCGAACCTGTTAAATGCGTGACAGGCAGGCAGGGAAAGGCTCTGGGGGTGACTGAATCACCCGTCAGTGCAGATCTGGAGGAGGTGTTACAAGGCCAGAGAGCAGCATGTACAAAGGAATATTGTTGTTATACACAGAGAGAGAGGGAGGGAGGGAGAGAGAGAGGGAGTGAGGGAGGGAGGGAGGAGGTGTAACTCCAATATCAACCTGAGAATATTAACACTACAGTGCACATCTAAGGTCATCTCAATAGTGTAGGGGTTTGAAGATTTTTCAGTCTTTGACCACAAGACCAGGGGCCAGCTGCGACAAATCCCTGTGACATGAAGGACAGCAGACACCAAAAGTCACTCATTCTGCTGGGGAGGCTGGAATTGTGTGTCAGAGAGAAGGGATGCGGAGAGCTGCATCCCTCGAGCCTCATGGCTAATGCTGCATGTCTGCCGTGTCCGTTCCCTGACGCTTGTTTGTTTGTTTGTTTGTTTTCCTCACTCCTTTGAGGCCTGTATGTACTCATGCTTTTCTCTCCCTATTTACTGTTCATAGTGTTCACACTCGTCTAGTTCTCCTCGTGTTCACACTCGTCTAGTTCTCCTCGTGTTCACACTCGTCTAGTTCTCCTAGTGTTCACACTTGTCTAGTTCTCCTCGTGTTCACACTCGTCTAGTTCTCCTCGTGTTCACACTTGTCTAGTTCTCGTGTTCACACTCGTCTAGTTCTCCTCGTGTTCACACTCGTCTAGTTCTCCTAGTGTTCACACTTGTCTAGTTCTCATAGTGTTCACACTTGTCTAGTTCTCCTCGTGTTCACACTTGTCTAGTTCTCAGTGTTCACACTCGTCTAGTTCTCCTAGTGTTCACACTCGTCTAGTTCTCCTAGTGTTCACACTTGTCTAGTTCTCATAGTGTTCACACTTGTCTAGTTCTCCTCATGTTCACACTCGTCTAGTTCTCCTCATGTTCACACTTGTCTAGTTCTCAGTGTTCACACTCGTCTAGTTCTCCTCGTGTTCACACTCGTCTAGTTCTCCTCGTGTTCACACTCGTCTAGTTCTCCTAGTGTTCACACTCGTCTAGTTCTCCTCGTGTTCACACTTGTCTAGTTCTCAGTGTTCACACTCGTCTAGTTCTCCTAGTGTTCACACTTGTCTAGTTCTCATAGTGTTCACACTCGTCTAGTTCTCCTAGTGTTCACACTTGTCTAGTTCTCCTAGTGTTCACACTTGTCTAGTTCTCCTAGTGTTCACACTTGTCTAGTTCTCCCTGCTGGTGAGCTCCCCAGGCAGGGCCACTGCAAGATCCAGACTGGGACAATCAGCCCAGAGGGCCACATGGAGTTAAAGAGACCATCATCAGATACTGCCCCCGGGGCAGCCTGAATCAGGTGCAAATCTTTGCTGAGTTTAATCTAAAATATGCCATGATTTTTATCTGTCCCTCCACATTTTAATTGCAACAAACTTGGAAGAAAACGACTCTTTGAAAACAGCATCATCCTTCTCTCAGGGCGACAGCATGACCTTCTCGACCAAAAGACTACCAATGTTAGAAGTGGTGCCAACAATTCAAGACAGGGCCACATATGTGTCTGGAGAGATGGCAGAGGGTTATGAGCTCTTGCTGCTCCTGTGGAGGACCAGTGTATGGGTCCTAGCCCTTGTACCTCCAGCTCAAGGTGATATGACACACTCTTTGGTCCTTAGGAGCCGCCTGCTCTCACATGTATGTGTCCACAAACAGACACAAATGCAGACACACAATTAAAAGTAAAATTAAACCCTAAAATAAAGAGAAGGAAACAGAGAAAACAAAAGACTCACAATAGCCACCTACCTGGACAAACCATGAGTGGCGATGTTCTCCTCAAGCGGTGTGTTCAACACCAGGTAATGTTTCACTGTATCATAGGTAGTTAAGTCTGGTGAAGGGAAAAGGATTGGGTAGTCATTCATTCAATAGTGAATGTCTTCCGTGTTAAGAATATGCTGGTCTTGGGGCTGAACTGTGCACCAGAATGAAAGACACCATTCTTGTTTTTAAGCAGAGGCAGGCAAAGCTATAAACAGTAGGAGAGGAAGAAAGCAGGGATGGACACTCAATTTATCTAGCTATGTTACCCTCTGGAATCTTTGGTCTTTGGACTGGAGGATTTCCGCCTGAACCTAAGGTAGATTAAGTGAAGACCTGGCCAGTTATAACCAACAGATCTCTACCACTGTTCTACATCAAGCTTGTCACACCTTTTTCTAATGACAATAGAAAGTTATTAAAAGGTTCTAAACTGGAGAGTTACACCACAGTGTTGGCGTTTATGGCGATGACCCACAGTGAAGTAGAGGTAATGAACGGTGGTGTGGTGAGAACAGTCAGGCGTGTCTGATGGTAGAGACGCAGTGTGCTCGTTTTCTAGAAGCTGGGGCAAGTCGGTAAGAGGAGCATCTCTGCTCACCGATGGCCGAAGAAACAACAAGCAAAACAAACCACCAGACGTCCACATGGCAGTAGGTTTTAAAGTAAGCACTCCGCAGACACGCGGGAAAAGAAAACGGAGCCCAAGGAACAGACAATGCGATGAATCTTGACATTTGGGAAAAAGGAAGGTCTCTTGCTAAAACGACAACTTCCAGAGACCCACAGGAAGCACGGAAAAACGGCTGTTTGGATAGCGGAAAGGAAAGCATTTGTCATGAGGCAGGAGCTGGCCTGGGAGGTGGATGAAGATGCAGAAGGCTGGGGTGGCAGAGCAGGCATGGCAGACAGAGGGCTGTAGGAGACCGTGCTGGCCCAGGCTACTGTGGAGAGGCTCAGAGGTCACACTGTAGGAAGACAAGGGGACTAGATGTGTGTTGTGGAGCCCTGCTCAGTTTCTGCACAAATTCTGAGAGCAGAAATAGCGGAATACAGAGAAAGAAAGAAAGAAAGAAAGAAAGAAAGAAAGAAAGAAAGGAAGGAAGGAAGGAAGGAAGGAAGGAAGGAAGGAAGAAAGAAAGAAAGGAAGGAAGGAAGAAGGCAAGCTTCTAAGTGTGAGCAATATAAAAAGAAGGGCTATTATTTTTGGAGATAAAGATGGAAACAGGCAGTTGTTTTTTTGTTTTTTACACGACAACACCATTGGTCCCTTTGTAAAGCCAGTTCAGGGATGGAGGGGCAAAGAGACTATGGGGTACCTAAGGAGGGACCATCGAGGAAGCTTCTGTAGTGGCCACAGAGGATTCAGTAAGTCATGTATGAACCAGGAAGCTCCAGTGATGAAGAGAAGACAGAATTAATTGCACTCAGTGACTATCTGACACAAGGGACAAGGAAAGAGACAAATCTCCATACCCATACAACGAAATGGTTTGTGGGATATTTTGAGATAATGAAGAATGGAGAATGAAGTGGTTTGATAACAAAGTTTAGTTTAGTTTAGATACCCTCAAGGCGAGACAGTCAAAGGAAGACCCGAGAAAGCAACAGGAACGTGGGAGAGAGTTGAGGCAAACTTTGAAGGGACAAATTGAGAAACTACATAAGGATTAGCTTGTTAAAAAAAAAAAAGCTACCAGTGAGACACAGCAGGCGTACACTGAGTGAGATAGAAGACAGATTTACTCCCTTCCACATGTAAGAGATATGTTACTGGAATTCTCCAAAACATCACACATCAGTTCCTTAGAGACATACCCATCCTAGAAAGGACTCTTTTACTGACTAAGCCCCGAACATCTGATGAGTTCATATGAAAGGCTGGGGGGGAAAGGTGAGTAAAATCATGGCCATCGTCTTCAGGGGCTCACCATGTAGTGGAGGATACAGACACACAGTAGAAGAGACAGACAGTGGTGGCTTGACTAGGTGTGCCCCCACCACCACAACCTAGACTCGTGTGTTTGAATGTTTGGCTTGTAGGGAATGGCACTTTAGGAGGTGTGGCCTTGTTGGAGGAAGCGTGTCACTGTGGAGGTGGGCTTTGAGGTCTTGTAAGCTCAAGTCTGGCCAGTGTGAGTCTCCTTTTGCTGCCCGTGGATCAAGATGTAGAACTCTCAGCTCCTTCTCCAACACCATATCTATCTGCATGCTGCCATGTTTCCTGCTGCGATGATAATGGACTAAGCCTCTGAAACTGTAAACGAGACCCAGTTAAATGTTCTCCTTTCTAAGAGTTGCTGTGGTCATGGTGTCTCTTCACAGCAATAAAACCCTAACTAAGATGGCTACTAAGGATACTGAAGTAGCAGGTATTGTGGTTGGGGGGCGGGATGGGTTAAGATGATTTTAGAAGATGGAAGTAGCTGGTAGCTTTGTCGTTTACATTCCAAGGCCTGCTTTTCACACACACATAAAATGACTGTCCCCAGAGATGAAAACCTAGGATGACAGGAACACATCTTTCATTTCTATACCCCAAATTCTACATTCTTAACAAGACAGACAAACTGCTCCTTTATTGTACACTGTTGCTTGTAATCTTTCCTATATTCTAACTCTCGAATATTTCAAGTTCATTTTGGTGAATAAACATGGCTGGCATACCAGTACCCATGGTATAGACATACCCACTTCCACTTTATGTCTAAAGCACAGGGCATTTTCAGTTTCAAGACTGGTGATGGAATGACCATTAGCCTCTTGGCGCTATGAAATGCTATGCCCATGTATGTTTATATGTTCTGGGTTTTGAAGATATAAAATTAGGCATATACATTTAAAATAATGTTTCTTTTTAGGGAAGGCTATATCTAACTTCTCAACAAAAGTATCTGTCAACATACAGTTTTAAAATGTTTTTCCTCTTATATTTTCCCTAGTAGTGTTAAGTGTAGCTTTACTAGTAATATATTACTATATTAATAGCATTTCCTAAATAAGAATATTTTTCTGATATGTCTTAAATTTTTTATGACACAAGGTCTGGCCTTGAACTCATGACTCTCCTGACTCAACCTTCCAAAAGATTGGTTTTAGTCTTTTCCACCTTCCTGGATGTATAACTTACCAATTTAAACTTTATAGTTATGGTATTAAAAAAAACTAGTAACTAAAAATGAGAGGGATAGAAGTAAATTGTGGGAGGAACTTTCCCATCTCCAGGCTGCACACCATGCTCTTCAGGAATAACTCCAAAGGAACAGGGGCTGAGTCTCAGGTACTGAGACCCGGGCGTCTGGGCAGAGTGAGTGTCAGGCAGCTACACACAGCAGTTTCATCTCAAAGGACAGTCTGGACTAGGGCAGGAGGCCGTAGATACCTTGGCCTTTTCTGCTTATGGGAACACTTTTCTGTCTTTGGTGCTTTTTGTACATCACTGAATGAGGTGAAAATGTTCCAAAATCAACGTTCAATGACTGTTGCTGGTTCCTGTTATTAAAGTGCCTTCCACACCACAATGTTGGCTCTCATAACTCGGTGATTACAGCTTAGAGATTCAAGAAGCTTGTTACCTCCCATGTTCACAAGCGCAGCTCTTTGAATGTTGGGTATCCAGCCTGCCCACAGCCCGCGTATTCCTCCTTCAGCTAAGATTTTTGCAAACGCATGATGTACTCCACGGAATCTAAGGAAAATAAAGAAATGTTAGTCTATGTGTTCTTGCATACGGAAGACAGACGTGTAAATTTCCCCTCCACACAGGCAAAGGAACGAGGCGTGGGGAGCTTGAGAGAGGTGCCAGGAGAGAAAGCAGAGGGCCTTTTATCTCAAATGCATTCTGTTACCTGGAAAGGTCCCGGATGTGATTTCATGCCTCCTGCAACGAATATTTGCACTCAGTTTATAAGACATGTTTATTCTTGTTGGATGTTGGAACATAGCTTTAGAACCCAATCTGGTGACAGGACATGCTGAATGCCAGGCAACTGTGTCTAAACTGGTCTGTCTTGAGAAAGCTCTGGGAAAGGACTGCTGTTAACATTTAGTCTGTGCTTACTGACGTTTATTTACATGTTTCTCTGAACAACCTTCCTTGGGTCATTGCTTTCTCTGTTTCACTTGTGTACACTGAACCTTGAGTAGAGTTGTCTACAGCTCCATTTTTTACAGCTCCAGATCTGCATAGGTCAGCGAGGGTCAATAGATACAATTAGGAATGAAATAATGTTCATTCAGAGTAATTAGAAATTAAAGGATTATAAAAGTCTAACTTCTAGATAATCTGAATAATTGGCTGTTGAAAGGCCAATGTTTGATTCAAACATTCCCCACCCCCTTTTTTTTGTTTGTTTTACAAGACAGAGTTTCTCTGTATTGTTTTGGAGGCTGCTGGTCCAGCCCAGCCTCAAACTCACAGAGATCTGCCTGCCTCTGCCTGGGATTAAAGGCATGCACCACCACTGCTGGCACATTTCCCTTTTAAAAGATGATTTGCTATCTTATGTGTATGAGTGATTTGTCTGCATGTATGTAAGGGGACTACACGCCTGGATCCTATGGAGGCCAAGAGTGAGCACTGGCTCCCTCTGAACTGTAGCCACAGTTGGTTGTGAGTGCTGAGAACGGGACCTGGGCCTGCTCCAAGAGTAGCCAGTGCTCTTAACTGATGACCCAATTTCTCTAGCTCAACATTTTCCTTTTTGTCTCCATTCTTTTTCTTTTCTAGTTTTGAGTCTTGTTATTTAGCACAATCTGGCCTCAAACTTTTAAATCTCTTGCCTCAACTTCCTACGTACTATGAGTTTAGGAATGTACTGCTATGCCCAACATGATTTAAACATTTCTAGTGGGTAGCATTACAAATTCTGTCATCATTTTCTCTTCTTAGTCTAGTAAAATGATCACAATACCATTATTTGGAATTTTTATATTGCCAATTCCCACATTAATTACAGGAGGAAGCAATAGTTGCTAGCCTTCACTTTGCTGGTGATACAAGGGTTCTGTCTCTATATGTACATATACATATATATTCAAAGAATGCTAAAAAGCCACTGACTCAGGTATGGGGGTGTAGCTCAGTGACAGATCACTTCCTAACATGCCCAAGGCCTTGGGCTTGACCCTTAGCATCTAAAACAAAACAAACAAAGAAACTCAACGCAGCAAAAGCTGACTCTCTAACACTCTTTCATCATCTCGGGCTGGAGAGATGGCTCACTGCTTAAGAGCACTGGCTGCTGTTCCAGAGGACATGGGTTCAATTTCTAGCACCCACTTGGCAACTCACAGTCATCTGTAACTCCAGTGTCAGGAGATCCAATACCCTCTTCTGGCGTCCTCCATATGTGGCACACAGACACACATGCAGGCAAAACACCCATACGCGTGATGTAATAATAAAACATTTAAAAAACTTTTTTGTCATAAGCAAGATTTCTTTTTTAGGTCAAAAAACTAAAAAAGACGATCTAAGAATTCTTAATTAAGCAATGTCATCTGTGTGAAAATGACTATCCTATCTTTGTTTTGCTTTTACTTTTGAATGCAGGTGAAAACCACAGCTGAATGTGAGACAACGTGCCAGTGTCTGCTAACAGAAGAGCAGCCCAAGAGGCTCTGGAGTGGAATTCCCGTGTTTCACTCCACACCTGTGTGGCTTTGGTGGAGGCATCACAGTCCCTGAATCTCACCCAGGGACAACGTGCCATTTTGACACGCATAATCACTCCTGTTATTTGTCTACGTGAGAACCCATGGTCCTGACGTGCTGTGCTGTTTTCTTTCTCCTCCCTCCCTCCCTCCCTCCCTCCCTCCCTCCCTCCCTCCCTCCCTCCCTCCCTCCCTCCCTCCCTTTCTTCCTTCCTTCCTTTTTTACAGTGATATCAAGTACAGCCAACCAAAAATTCCCAACATTAGAGACAAAAGAAAGCAAGCAAGCTACCCACCCATCATGTAAAAACAGAAACAACCGGAGCCCAGATGAACACGTGTCCTTCTGGGTTTCTGTAGTAGGCTTTCAGAGATTAGAAGCTGTTAGAAGGGCAACAGAACAGACTCTGGTTCAGTGATGCCCCTTGCTATGTCAGAGTGCTGTCTTTTGCCTGCTGTCCACTCCTGCCCTGCCCACTTAAGGCTGCAGGGGGCCCAGGCTACTGCAGGGCAGGCTAGAGAGTGTTCAGTGGTGAACACTCAAGGAGGCACCAGCCCTCCTCATAAGGCCCAGCTCAGCTGGAGACAGTGTTGGCAGGAGCAGAGCTCTTCAGACGCAGCTCAGATCTCCTGCACTTTCCTCTTTCCTGGGATGGTCTGTCTGTCTATCAGAGCCTATCCTTTCCCAGAAACAGGCTAAAAGAAATTAGCATCATTGGCCTTGCAACATTCTTTCCAAGAGGAAAATTAAGGTTTTTAAAGATAGTAGTGTTAGCCATCAGGAATTCCCTTTAAAAGCAAAGACAGCGTTGGGCAGTTTGGCAGGCAGCATAAGGCAGTCCTCTGTGAGTTCAAGGCCAGCCTGCTCTACAGAGCTAGTTCCAGGATAACCAGGGTTACACAGAGAAACCTTGTCTTGGAAAAACAAACAAATAGACAAAAAAAAAAAAAAAAGGACAAAGACTCGTGGTAAGTGACTTCTAGTATGCCAGCACACAGAGACAGTATTAGGGGTTAAATTCTCATTCTCTCTTCCTCTGTCACCCACCTGTGAAAAACGGGAAGGGAAAGTAAGTTTCCTGGGTGACTCACCTCAGGGGCTTCCCCTCTAGCTTCCGTTTTCCCTCCATTTGCATCTGAACTTTCACCAGGTCGGTGGGGTTGGCGAGAAACTGCCCAATGACACCAGCCATCATCCCTCCAATGACCGATTTCCTAATCGCAAAAGGGATAGTGGTTTGCTGGTTTTCTTTAAGTTGCCACCCATTTCACAGATTTTATAAGGGAACCATGCTGAACTTGCACAGGCCCTGGGTAGAAAGTTAAAGATACAGTAAAGGACAGACAAAGGACAGAACTACAGACAGCCCGACTCTTTACTGGTGGGAAGGTCCAGGGATCAAAAGGCACTAAAGGAAAAATCTGAAATCCTTCTACCTGAATCCAAAGGAAAGAAAAATGGCTGTAATTGGTACAGACACTTGAACTCATTAATTCTCTACCCCTGGCCTTATGACTGCAGGGTGACAAAGCAGCAGACATGCAATCAGCCTAAGGGACAAACTGAGCTGGTTTTCCAAGTGATGGGTTTAATAGCCTTCCTCCCTCCGAAGAAACTTGCAGGACAAAGCTCCTTTACTCTCAGCCAACAGTGAGCAGGACTCAACCATAAAAATTACTGTGTAGCATCCCCAAATCACACATTAGGAGGTTTAACAGGCAGTGTATGTTATAAAAGGCTCTATTGCTTTACATTTTGACAACACTTTCAAGGGAGTTTGAATTAATTTCTCTGTTTATTAGTGATGCTACGTGTTTTCACATGTGTAAAGAAGATTTATACTTCTTTTGGGAACTGGGTCTCTCAAAATGTTTTTCTTGTTTTCCCTGGATGCTAGCTATGGTCTTTTGATTGTTTTAATGTTACAAATGCATATTACTTATGGTGAACTATTTTACAAGTATTTTCCTTAATCTCTCTCTCTCTCTCTCTCTCTCTCTCTCTCTCTCTCTCCCTCTCCCTTTTCCCTCCTCCCTTTATATATGTGTGTGTGTGTGTGTGTGTGTGTGTGTGTGTGTGTGTGTGTGTGTGTGTGGTGCCTGAGGGGGAGCTAGAAGGTGGCTTTGGATCCCTTGGAGTTGGAGTTACAGGTGGTTATATACTATGGAATAGGGATGTTGAGAACTGAACTCTGGTCGTCTAGAAAATCAGGACATGTTCTTAGCTGCTGGGCATCTCTCCAGCCCCTGTAAACTGCTCTTTATGTTTCTGTTATGAATGAAATACAATTTGTTTGAGACAGGGTTTTCCTATGTAATAGTCCTGACTGTCCTGGAACTTGCTTTGTAGATCAGGTTGGCCTGGAACTCACAGAGATCTGCCTCCCTTTGCTTCCCATTGCTGGGCTATAAATTGCACATTTTGAAGCAACAGGCACTTGTGGATCACCTCGTCCAAAGGTAGGCATCGCTTCTGCAGCGGGGAGAACTGAAGGTGGAGGAGGTGAGGCAGGTTATCCACGTTCCCCGTTAAGGGTGAAAAATGAGGTGCAGGCCCGTATCTGACTTCAAAGCCCTGAGCTTTTCAAAAGGAAGAAGACGCATGGTTGTGGCGAAAGGCTGCCGCAGGAATTCTGACTGTGCAAAGGTACTGTGGTTCTTTAAAACAACTCTTCTTCAGTGTGTGTGTGTGTATTTGAGAGAGAGGGACACACACACACACACACAGAATCAAAAGACAACTTGTGGGAATCATTTCCTTTTCTAGCATTTAAGTCCCCAAGATTTAACTCAGGTTTTCAGGCTTGGCAGCAAATTCCTTCATCCACCAAGCCATCTCATTGACCTGCTACTGTGGTTCTTAATAAGCAATGACATAATAGAAATATGAATCTTTGGCATGAACAAAACGAAAGAATGTAGTACTGAACTTGAGTCACAGAGACCACCTGGAAATTGAGTGTCAACTCTATATGTGTTGATTTGGATCTCAACCTGTAAATGCAGTCGAGGCTACAGAGATACAGGAACACACCAGGCACACAGAGAAAAGAGAACACAATTCCTCAACATTCAGGGATGAGCACATATCCTCAGAGCACTGGGCTTTCCCTGTGAAACCCTGATGACTGTGGCTGGTTCTTGCCTTGGCCCTTAGAAGCATAGTTAGCAGCCCATGTAAGAAGAAAAGACAAGAGAGAGCCAGAGAGATGCTCAAAGGGTCAAAGAGCGTAGTGTCCAGGAAGCCAAAGAAGTGAGTGACTCAAAAGAAGAACCAGAGGCACCTAAACACCCAGGACAATGAGAATTTGGCTTAAAGTACATCAAATGTATTCATTATTCTTACATCTTGGGAATGGAGTACATTAGAGTATGGGTTCAAGTCCCACAACTGCTAACGCTCTTTTCCAAACTTCTACATTTACAACCTAAAAACAAAAGAAAGAAAAAATCTTATAAAAGTGAAAAAAAAGGACAATAGAAAAAAATTAAGTGACAACATAAACCCCAGGGAGCAAAAAGCTTTAAATTTAAAACTGTTTGCTAAATGTGCTTTGGCAGAACTGACAAAGGGTGTTTCTTCATCAAGTGTCTTCCTTCTGTTATAGAAAGGCTCCAAACAATACAAAACACGTTTTTGCAGGAAGGAAGCCTGCTGTCCTTTATGGGACTGTAAAATTCACTCCCAGGTATTCCTTCTTTAAGAAATTTCACATGATTCCTAAGGGAGGCTATGCTAGCCCACTGTCTGAAACAAGAAAGAGCTGTCCACGCAGATCTTACTGTTAGCCTTGATTCAGCAGAACTGATACAAAAAAAATGGGAAACATGGTTTACTTCCTGGACACAAGCTTTAAAAACTGGACCCCACAAAAATTTCTAATAATACAAAAGCCAGACCCTTACAAAAAAACAGAACAAAACATGCACTAATCACAAATTAGCTTGCCTCTAGAGAGATGTTAGTTCATTCTTGGGTAATGTTTGCTGAGAGAATATTTTTTCACTGAGAAAATTAATTTTGGGATTAATAGTATCTAAACAAAAGGCACATGGAAAAATGCATTAGGGTGTAAAGGGTTTAAAGGACTTTATCAAACACACAGTGCCTCGAATTTACCAAAGCATTTCTGAAAGTGAGACTGATGTCGTTTGAATATAATTACAAAAGTACATGGTAATGCAATGATCTAATGTATAACTTTCATATTCATTAAAACAGACTAGCTATAATAAAGGTCATGTGCTGCCTAGTCTCGCATTAACTTGGCACAAACTAGAGTCATTTGAAAGGAGGGATTTGAAAATGTCTCCCATCAGACTGGTTCATAGGCAAGCCTGTGGGGGCATTTTCTTGATTAATATCTGATATTCTGAGAGGGCCCCTCCCACTGTGGACAGTGTCATCCCTGTGCAGGTGGCTCTGGGTTATTTAAGGAAGTATGCCGAGCAAGGCAAGGGGAGCACGCCAGTAAGCAGCATTCTTCTGTGGTCTCTGCCTCAGGTCCTGCCTCCTTGTTCCTGCTTTGAGGTCCTGCTCTGACCATCCTCTGTGATGGTCTGTTACCGGGAAGTGTAGGTGAAATAAACCCTTTCCTCTCCAGGTTACTTCTGGTCATGGTGCTTTATCACAACAATAGAAAGCTAACTAAGTAAGACAATGGCATTTGAAAAGGGATGCCCTAATTGATGATGCTCCAATAGAATTGATTATTATTTGTTTTTGAGACAGGGTCGCCTTAAACTCTCTATCTTCCTGCCTCCACCTCTCAAGGGCTAGAGTAATAGGCATGTAGGCACGTATCCTCTCCCCAACCATTGGACTGGTTAAGATTAAAATATTGAATAAACATGAGTAATGCACATATACATCTCTGTGTATCTGTACACAGTATGTACACAACGCTCACTTATTTGGATTTCTATTATTCACTAAGTCTGTTACTAAATGCAATCTTAGTACAAATGGATAACTTTATGTAAATATAATCAATAACCATTAAAGTCTTTATGGTCATGACTGTGTTCAGGACTAAACTTACCAGAGGGGATAGTGCTTATCTTCACTTTTGCCAAACACAACCTCCCGGAGATGCTCATAGGTGACCATCCGGCCTCCAGAATACACTGCATAAAACAGACCATGAAAATGCAAATTCAGTTTTGTGTCTAATGAACTATGAGGGTCCTGTGACCTGGCCTCATTAATCTTCCAGGGGAGGAATTCTTACTCCTTGTCTGATCTCTCTAGAACAAAGCCTCCCTTCCACGCTTTGCTTATCCCTCTTCATCTTTTGGGACTCTGCTCACTGTGTTTTTGGGAAAGTTGCTCTTTGACCTTCATCTCAGTATCCTTGGCCTACACTGCCTGTTCTAACACAATAACTATCAAATTCTCTAGCAATTAATTTCTTCTTATCTTCCCTCAGGGTTTCTCCAAGTGGGTTCTGAGTGTTGGTTACTTGTTATTATTTTTTTGACTGACACTAATTCACCAAACTTGAGTCCATTTATTGTCTTACACACAAACTACATCTAAGCTCAAGGTTTGAAGTGTTTCTGAATTCTAGAGCTTGAAGGAAGACTAGGAAAGAGGGGCTATGCCTGCCTTCCTGTTCCAATTGAGCACTACCACAGGAAAGGGAGCAGAAAGAGAATGAAAAGGAACCCCACAAAATAGCTCTGTGTGTTGACTTCAACTCAAGCATGAAAGTAGGAAGCTTGATGCTTTCTATTTCTATTTATTCTATTTGAATAAACACAGGGAACTGCACTAGAGAATTCATTAACATTTCTTCCCTTCCAGGTTTTAAGCACACGAGAAAGATCTTAAGTAGAGAACAATGAAGTAGCAAACCATGGAACACTAATGGGGTCCAGAAGAGAAATAGTTTAGAAGATAGAAAATGCATCATAAAATCATACACAGTGCTCATACAACAGATTTCTTGATATGAAATACCAAATTCCTAGGAAGGTTGACTGGATATTTCATAAAAAATAATAACAAATTACAAAACAGTATAAGTGTCTGTGCATAATTCTGACTCTTTAAAAAATTCTACACTAACCCACTCATGTAAAGAATGGAATATTAACAGCAAGCCTGCCCATGACTAAAAGTGATGCTTTCTAGGCCAAGGAAACAGCACTAAGGTGGAGGGGCCAAAGGCCACACAATCTCAACGTCTCTTTGGAACCAACTTCATGTTCTCCAGTCTACAAGCCGAAAGGTCAATGACACCCATTCCTGTAAGTAGTACCCTGGAAGCAGAGTTAGAAAGGTTTTCTCCATGACAGTTATCACTAATAACCCACAGAAGTACTTTGGGAAGAGAGACAAAGGCAAATTCACCTGTGCTCCGTCTACCCTAGCGCCACAGCTAGATGAGGCAAGGCTCCTTGCCCTCTGTCAGGTCAGCCTAGCTGGTCTCTGATGTACAGGGCAAAGACTGAATAGACTTTAACTTTCAAAGAACAAGAAAACATTTATCTGAAGCTCATTCGGAACTCTGAGTTTAAAACCTACTTCAATTTTTACTGTATTTAAGGTTTCTGAAGTAAGGGAAAATGATGTAAATTATTCATGTTTCTTTGTCTTATGTCATTAAAGAACATACAGGAAAAAATTCTCAACCATACAGCCAATCCGAAAACAATTGTAACTCCTTTTATATCAAGATTCATTAGGTGATAACCCTCGTTTAATTATCTTAAAGTGATCTATAGGTATGACAGGTAGTTTGCTGGGGTTTTCCCCCCCATGTGTATGTGTGTGGTGTGGTTGACGTGTAGATATGCTCACATGTGTGTAGAACTATGTTAGTGTGGGTACGAATGCACGTGTGTGTATGTGCAGAGGCCTGGATATCAATTGTCTTCCTCTATACTCTCTTCTCTATTTATTGCTCGCCTCTTCCAGCTAGCCTAGTTGTCCAGCTTGACCCAAGGATCTCCTGGACAGTTTAAATACTCCCATATGCCATTCTCAAAGCTTAGGGCACTAACTCCTAAATAACAACTGGAAATATTTTCTTCTACTGATGTATCGGTGAGAAAAAGAAACAAAGCAATGTTCTTGCTGGATTTTGGATACAGCCGAAGAGAAAAGCAAAAAATACACAACTCAACAAACTTACCAGTTAGAATCAAGATAAATACCTACGTGTCTGTAAATGGCGGGTGTCACTCCTTGCCACAACTTTAGGAAGCCTTCCTCCTGGACAATTCCTAGGGCCGTGCGCACCATGCCCCTATAAGGGGCAGAATCTGTTGCACCATCTCCCAACTTAGCAAGGGCAGCTTCTCCTTGCATCTGGAGTCGGGTTTTTGTGAGATCGAGGGGAAAGGTTGCTAATGAAATAAAAAACAAACAAACAAAGGGAAAACCCCAAAACATTCAGACCAACAAGCAAAACTTCTAAAGTCATAGGACTAATATTCTCACATGATTTGGAGACTCTGAAGTATGGGAATCTGTGAAAAATATACGCTTCCTATTCCATTTGCATTCTGAATTAGTAGAAGGATGATTTAGAAGGTAGACTCTTATGCCTACTCACATCTAAGACTCACTGCCCTAGAGCATCGCAGATTAAACAAAACAAAAACCCCACAAAACCAAGATAATCCCATAAAAGTAGGACAACCCTTGATGTCTTTTCAATAAAAACGTTCACTACCAACCCCCGTCACTTTTCCCAGTGAGGAAATAGCTTATAGTAGCCATATTCTGCTGTGTCTCCTTGACCACAGCCACTATCATTTGAGATCTGATACAAATTTAGAATAAACTTGAAGCCGAATTCTATGATGTCGTGAGTGTCTTGCCCATGAGAACGAATCACAGAACTGATGCTTGAGATGCAGAAGATGCAATGAAGTTAGAAGGTCTTTGTATACAGGGGTGGAAATCCTCAAAATTCTTCAAAAATTATATTTTTCTGAACTGACAAGCTTTATACATGGTCCATTCACGAGTTCTTTGTGAGTTACAACTTTATTCATTGGAAAACTTGTTTACATGTTAAATTAGAAACAGATCGTTTTTTTTTTTGTTTTGTTTTTTACCTACAAGCATATTTCAGTCACCCGACTCACATCAGGAAGATTAGACTTACAATGCCACAGTACAATATCCTGCTCTAAGAAGGGTATTGAGACGAGCTCATGAACATTGCTGACAGTACATAAGATTTTTTTCAGTGATCACTACCTGATCCAGACTCCATGAATTCCTTTTCTAAGGAGAGAGAGAGAGAGAGAGAGAGAGAGAGAGAGAGAGAGAGAGAGAGAGAGAGAGAGAGAGAGAGAGAGAGAGAGAGAGAGAGAGAGAGAGAGAGAGAGAGAAGCCAGGGAGAGTGTAGGGGTGTTACATATTTCCACTAGGTTTTGAAAAAGCATCTAGCAAATAATTTCCCTCAACAGATGTATCTTACACATACATACTTTAAAAAGGCGTTTTATTAGCATATGAAGCTAAAAATCATGAAGAGGTAGAAGCCTCTATCTAAGTACACATTCTACTTCCCCAAACACATTTTTGTTTTGTTTTGATTTTGATTATTTCATAGTTCAGGTGTCATGCTGAACTGGTGTGTAGGCCCCTTCAGCAGCCAGCTTTGATTCCCTAGCCTCCGATCCCTACTTTTCATATAATTTTCCCCCAGCACATTGCACAGGAGTGCTACTGGACAAGCCAGTGAGCTTCAGGGAGGAGTCAAACTGTTAATGTGTCTAATCACTCAGCCATCTGACTTTAGACATCTGCAATAGTTAGAATTTTATTTCAAAAAGTGAATAATAAAAAATGCTCTGTTAGCTTTGAGAGGGCCAAAACAACCAACAGAATGCTGGCTATGCTTGTTATAAAGATAGATAAACCTCTGCTAGAACAAGACTGAGGAACATTTCCAAATGACTAATGCACCAGAGACATCCCCCTTTCTTTCTTTTCTTAATGGACAAGAAAATGTAAGGGTGATCTGAAATAGCTTCACAGAGACCACTGTTGTACTCAAAACCTTGCTCCCCAACAAGATACCATCTGCTCATGCCAAGGTACCATAATTCACTCTGTCGTCTGTTTGTTTGTTTGTTTGGTTTTTGACTCACTTAGACAGATGAATCTGTTCTTTCTATGATGTTCTTATGACACACAAAAATAGCTTCTCTTGCAACAGGCAGCAGTTGAAATTGTCTTTCTCTGCTCGAGCCCCCACTAGCCTGGAAGAAGGCCACACTGGGGTCTTTGCAATTATAGAGCCAGGACCCACTACTGTATGGGCTGTATTAATGCCCCAATTAATAGCTACCCTGCCTTGAATTTACCATGTTTATAAAAACTACTTCTCAGGGTCCTTCCTGTAGGATAAACAAGATGTAGGTCAAGAAGCGATGTGGCTGGCTGACTTTAGGCAGACGTTCAGTAGGAATGGTTAGTAACTGAAATTCCCAAGGTGGGGATCCCCCCCCCCCACACACAGATACCCTGCCCCTCGCCCCTGCCCTTAAAAGATTCCTAGGCTGCATAAGACTATAAACCTTGAAAATGACGATCCCCCGGAGGATGAAAAACTATTTGCACAAATGGATTATGATTCCAAAAGGGTCATCCTCACGAAAGGGTAAATGTTTCCTAGAGGGGTCTGAGGGCTCATGAAGAGCCCAGGAGTACTCACTTAGGCATAAGACAACATCCCTGAGGATGGGAAGACAAGGACCCTGGACACCTCCAATCCATGCTCCTCCCGAAGCTGGCCTACTGGGCACCTGACCACATCCTTGCGAGGGCGCAACCTCTGAAGATGCTCCAGCGTGGAGCCGGGCTTGCCCGCCCATCCCTCCCCCCAGGCGCGATGCCGCGGCCACTAGCCGGGGAGGCCGAGGCGGGGGCGGCCGGTACCTAGCTCGGCCACGGTTGCGGCGCAGCCGGACAGCAGGAACTTGCTCGTCCGGGGCCATCTCTGCGTGAGCGGCAGCAGCGTCTCCTCCTCCTCGGGGACAGACATTCGGCAGCAGGTCAGGACCACTGGGCACCCCTAGTCTCCTGTGCACCTGCCACCCTGCCGGGCGCCGCCCCTTTTCAGTCCAAGAGCGGTCAGGGAGGGACCACGTGCGCCTGTTAGGCACTGCAAAGCCGCCGCCCGCTTAGTGGCTGGACCGGTCCGGGGGCCTCAGGTACTGAAAAACAAAGCGGAACCCAAGAGGCTTCTGGGAAATGTAGTTCTTTGGGCTCCGCGATGTCTCTGATTGGTCGGCAGCTAGGCGCCCTTCTGCAAACTGCCTGCTACTTGATATCTAGGCTACAGCGCTTGTTCCCGCCCACTGTCCCAACCCAGGCCAGTGTAGTTCGACTCATTGCTTTTTTTTTTTTTCCTCTGTTGACCAGAATTTGAATGCAATGCAAAAATTACACAAAATTGGGGCGGGGCAAAGGAGCTACAGTTACGCAGCAAGAGAAATAGTGGCCAAAGTTTCGGTTTCAAAGTTTGGAAGACCGAGTGCGTTTTCCTCAGTCGGCAGGGGAGGAGGAAATGCCCTGGAAGAAGGACGTTTTCAAAACGTCTGTGATTCTGGAAGATGGGCATCATGGAATTATTGTCACCAGTAGTAATCGCCGTCCTGGGAAGCTGTGTTCTTTTCTTATTCTTTCGGTGGCAGAATTTGCGTGGACCCCCGTGCATCCAAGGCTGGGTTCCCTGGATCGGAGCGGGATTTGAGTTTGGGAAAGCCCCTCTTGAATTTATAGAAAAAGCAAGACTCAAGGTATGTAGCTGTGCAGGGGGTGGTGGTCGGGAGTGGGCAGGGCAGGGCAGGGGAGGTAGTATTTAATTTCCAAATTTTGTTTTTACTAAACGCAGTGTTAGAACACTGGAAATACACATACTTCCGGCAATTAATCCCATCTGTTGTTTCCCTACTCATGATCTTCACTTATGTCCTAAGCAAGGGATCAACAAATGAAATGAAAGACATCACAGCTTGTTGGAAGCAGAGACGTCTTTTAAGTGTTAGTAACTTTCATGCGTTAATTCTAAGTGCGTGTTTATTAACGTACAGATATAAACGTGTAGTGCTTGGGGGAGATAAGAGGTTTCTATGATTTCAGATTGTGAAAATGAGTAATAAATCTGAATCACAAATAGAGGTAACACTAACTGTTTTGTAAAACTTGCTTTGCTAAGTTGATCTTTACAGATCCAAGCCTTGTCACTTTTCTGTTTCTTTCTACTAGTTTTAGTGATAGTGAGCCCCTACTTTCCATACACCCTGAGGAGATAAGTATTGGATAGATTTATAAAGATTTTTGTCCTTAAGGCAGTTCTCGAATTTTGAACACTTTAAAGAAGGCATTTTTGATAGCCTTTTAATTTTTATTCGTGTTTTAGTGGCCAAGATCTTCCTATATTTGTGGTTGGGAAGACAGCTCGGTGGATGAGAGCCTGAGTTCAATCCCCAGTCCCTACATTTAAGGTGGGGGATGGGGAGAAAGCAAACATGTAGATGAGAGATGGCTCAGCTGTTAAGAGCACCCACTGCTCTTGTAGAGGACCCAAGTTCTGTTCCCAGAACCCATGTTGGGTTGAATCAAAATCACCTACAATTCCAGCTTCAGAGGATCTGAATCCTCTGTCTTCCAAAGGCATCCATGGACATACCCATAAACGTATACACATGCAAATAAAATGGATATTAATTTAAAAAAGAGCAGTGTGTCCAAATGCATCTCAAATTTGAATGCAGGAGAGACAGAGAGACAGGAGAATCCATGGAGCTCACTGATCAGCCAGTCTAGCCCAACCACCAAGCTCCAGGTTCTTGTCTCTGAAAATAGGGTGGAAGGCCAGCAAGATGGCTCAGTGGGTAGAGGTGTCTGCTACCAAGTCTCATATCTTGAGATAGAGCTCCAGAACCCACGTGGTGGGAGGAGAGAAGCAACTCCCTCCGGTTGTTCTCAGACCTCACACGGGTGCTGTGATACATGCATGCTCACAAGCATGTAAACACAATACGTGAGGAATATTTCCTTATCATTAAGTAGTTTGTGTGTGTGTGTGTGTGTGTGTGTGTGTGTGTGTTGCATAATGTGTGTGTCTACACACGTGCAGGTGCTTTAGTCCATACAGGAAGGAGCTTGTGGAGTTCAAAGACTGACACGGGGTGTCTTCTTAATTTACTTCTGCACTCCATTTTGTTGGGGCAGAGTCTCTCACTGAATCTGGAGCTCATTCTTTCAGTTAGAATGACTGGCTAGCAAGCCTCTGGGGACCGCCTGTCTCTGCTCCCCAGTGTTGGGGAGGTAGAGATGTAAACTTCTATGCCTGGCTTTTATGTGGGTTATCTGGATTTGAACTCTGATCCTCATGTTTGCACAGCAAGCCTTTGTCCATAGAGCCATCTTCAGTCTTTAATGGCTGTATTGCGTCAAATAAGGACAGGGTATTTACTTACATCCAATAGTTGGCTTGTATAAGTTGTTGCCAATTGCTTTTCGTTGTTTCAACCAATACCTCATTGGATATTCTAATATTTTTTGGTTGTGAGCCTAGCCTTTAATGGCTGAGCCATCTCTCCAGCCCTCAATGGATATTCTTATGTGTGCGTCTATATGTATGTAAGTAGCTGAACATTTAAAGTTTGTTTGACTATTTCCTCAGAATAAACTCCAACAGTAGATTTCCTGGGGGGAAATGCACAATTAAATTGTGTTGGGAGCAATCATTGTTATTTAAAACCTCTTGTAAATATTGTCAGTCCTTTTTAAGAATAATCAACCCCCTCCCCAGCTCCCTATGAGTAAAACCTGGGCTCACAGGAATAGCTGATAGATAGGAATATTCATCATATGATGTTATCTCCAATGACAGGGAGAGACTTTTATACACCCCTGGTCCATGAGACCCCCTTACCTAAGCCAGACAAGACCCTCTCATGGATATTTCCACCCATGACCTTTTTATTTCGTACCTGTAAGGGCCCTAATATAAGGATGACATCATAAAAACGCATCTTAATACTCCCACTAAGATCCTAATAACTGACACCTACTGCCTACTCCTCTACCAACTCTCAGACCCCTCTCCTTCATTAATAAAAAGTAAGGGAGGGGATGTTGGGGACCAGGTCACTGGATCTACTTCTTACCCGAAGGCACTTCCCAAAACTCAGGCACCTTCCCACAGATGGCCTGGCACCATAGAGGTAACTTAACAATACTTTGTTAACACCTGCACTCTCTGGTGAGATCTCCTGCTCTCTTGCATATCACTTCCCAGCATCTCAGGTCTAACAACCTCCGCCCCATGGCCAATGCCACATTCCCCTATTTAAGCCTGTACAGAACTTTCATTAAGCGGCAGCTCGATCAGCCATGTTGTCCTGCTGTCCATCTCTCTCTTGTCTCTTGTCTCATTCATTCCAGGTTCCCCTGGGCTCGAACCCGCTGTGCCCTGCTGGCCGGGGCAAAATTGGTTATGATTATATTGTGTTATTTCACTGCTTTGAAAAAGATATGCTGTATACTTTTAACACACAGTTTTACCATATAGATTTGCTTAACATAGTAGATTCTGGGCCATAATGGATACCATAATTATGTGAAACTTTTAGTCTGATACACGAAAGATGAAAAAGAATACTCATTCCTAAAGTAATATTTCTTTGTTTCCCACAGCCTTCCACGGTCACATGAGCTTAGTAATTTGTATGGAATGTTTGACAAAGTCATGTCAGATCAAGCATGTGTGGGGGCTCTGTGGAGTCAATTATTTTGTTACATGACACAGTGTGTGTGCGTTCTTTCCCTTGTACTCAAGGACTATGACTCCTTTGTTTGATGTTTGAATCCTGGAAGCTAATTTTAAGAGTTATTTTTAGCAAATGGTCAGGATGATAAGAAGTGCATTAGAGACATTTAAAACCATGTAAGTTCAAAGTCCCAAAGCAGGAATGCTCGCCCACTCCTTAACCAACACACATAAACGGAACACAAAAGGAAAAACAAAGGAACCAGTGGCTTTTGCCTCTTTGTTTTATACAGCTTCTTACTGTTCAGTAAGTAGCCTAGGCTGGCCTTGAACTTGAGTCCTCCTGCCTGAGTAGTCTTCCTTTTGAGGACTGGGATTTGGATGTGCATGGCATGCCTTGCTCCCAGTCAACTTTCTCAGTCTACTTTCCCATTAATTGCTTTCTCAGACCAGTCAAGAAAAGTTCCATTGTGGATGTAGGAAACCCTTTGCAGCCTCTTTGCATGCTTGTGACATCACAAGTCTTAGCATTAGAGTGGAATTTTGCAAGAGGATGTGATCTGCCTTTTCACGGTATCTGCATTCGGTCTGCACACTTTGATAAGGGGGAACTGTATTTATCTGGAAACTGTATGGGAAACACGTGGCTTGTTGAACCCTTAAGGAAGGAGGACTTCCAGACATCCATGGTGAGCATCCCTTTAGCTCCTGCCCCTGAAGAACACGTAGAAATCTTTGGTGGCTGCCAAAAGTCTTCCCTGTAGTTTAATTTAATCTTTGAATGAGTTATATAATGTTTAACATTTGAAAATAGTAACTCTCGTGAGAGGCTTAGGAGATGATGGCTCAGGCGGTAAGTTGCCAGAGGTCCAAGCATGAAAACCACGTGGAGGAAAGAGGGTCACCAGGCTTGTTGGCCAGCCGCTCTAACCAGTCCCAGAGTTCCAGGTTCAGGGAGAGACCCTATCTAAAGAAAGCAGATGAGAGCAATGGTGGAAACCAACAGTGTTGACCTCTGACCTCTACATGCACCTGCCTCTGCAAACATACACACAAGCATGTAGACACAACTAGAGTGAAAAATGCTTCTTCTGTCTCTGTTCCACTGAATTCTCAGCTCTCATTCCAAGCCCTATAACACTAGTCGCTTTCTGACCTGTCACCAGTAGCAGGAAGTGGTGTTCTCTGGCAGTGCAGGCTGAGGGGTCCTGGGGGCCGGCGTTACTCTGGTGCATCTCAGTTTTTCAAGTCTCCCACAGAACAGGAGTTTCAGGATGATGCAGAGTGGAGCAAAGTTATCGAGGCCGTGTTCTCTCAACCAACAAATAAAGCAGAATAAATGATAACAAATAATAAAGCAGAAGAGACAAGACACAGTTGGGGGATGGGGTGTGGTACTGCTGGTGCAATTTAGTTTTCTGATCCATAAAATTAGGACTTTGAAGAAGAAACTTTGATGGTGCTGTGCACAAGCTTCAAGGTAGAGGAGGGAGTGCCTGAAAGGAACCATTAGTCACAGGTCCCAAGGAGGTTGGGGTTTAAGGTACAGCTCATTAGCCACATCAAACATCCGGGTGGGCTGTTTCTCAGAACTTGGACTTAATATGTAGATTCAGAAAGGTTGGCACACAATTACTGACTGTGTGGCTACACATGTGCTGGAGCTACACATGTGTGCTTAAACATACAATAATGCTTATGATCATGCAAGCAATTTTTTTGGTAAAAATATGACCCAATAGGTTGGATTCTTATTTATTAAGAACCCCAAAATGCTAATTAAAAATACCAGAGATCCTAAGGGAGAGATATGCAGTGGTCATGGTAGTAGATTGGAGAAGCCCACATAGTAAAGATGTCACTTGTGTCCAAATTGAAATTCGGGAGTACTCTCAAGTCCTCTGGAAGCCTTATTTTAGAGGCTGTCGATGTTATTGTAAAATTTAGGTATAAAGGCCAAGAGAATGGAGTCCCTAAAACATTCTTGGAAGAAAGAGGAGGAGGAGGAGGAGGAAGAAGCCAAAAAGAGTTGTTTCACTCAATTTCATTGCTTATTTGTCATTAACTGTGGTGCTGAGAGACGTACACACAAAGATAGATGAACCAGAATAGGGAGTTTGGTAAGCCATGCGTACAAGTGTGCTCAGCTGACTTGTGACAAAGACAGAAGCAATTCAATGGAGTAAAGACAGCCTTTTTCAAATGTTGGTGAAGCAGTTCCATGTTCATGATCCAGGGGGAAATAAAAGCATAATATTTACAAAACAAAATAAGGAACCTCAACCTAAGACTCACACCGTAGACAAAAATTAGCTCAAGATAGATCCCAGTCTTAACCAGAGCTGTATTGGCATTCAAAGAGCATACCAGAAGAGAAGATAAACTGAACTTTATGAAAACTAGCAATCTCTTCTCTGTGAGAGAACCCACAAGAAGGACAAAGAGAAAATCTTAAGAATGGGATAAAGTATGTGCAAGCCCCATACGCCATGGAGGACCAGTGTTTCATGTGCATAAAGAACCATGAACACACAAAAGCAAACCATCACGTGTGAGCATCACGGCCATGATGAGGCAAACACAGCGGCCTGTGAAGAGGAAATGAGCCTGAAGATGCCTAATGGTCCAACCACTGTGGAAAATATGTCAGCGGTTTATTAAGAGAACTTGCAGCAAATCCTGTAGCTCAGCGCTTATATTTTTAGATTTTTTTTCTCCTGCAGAAATGGAAACTCGGGTTTACACTGTAACCTGGCATTGTTTTATCTGTAGTCCCTTTTAACAATACCCCTGAAATAGGACCCCGAATGTCTTCAGCAAATGTCCTTCAATGTTCTGGAATTCTGCTCAGAAATGTATAGACACGAAGCTTTGGCAACAGCCAGAATCTAGATGGCTTTCTAGAGGGTGGTAATAATGGGGGAAAGTCGCTCCCAATTAGATAAAGAATAAGAGAACAAAGGAAACAAAGCAGAAACCCACTGCTGTAGAGTTTGTATCCCTACACTGAATGATTTTCACTGTGCAGAATACTACAGGGGCTCTTTTCAACAGCACCAGCATGGGGCAGCGGTAACCTCAGTGGCTCAGTGTGCTTGAACTTGGTTTCCACTTGAAGTCCCTGAGAAACTTAACTAGGAAGACCACTTTTCCAGTAGAAAGTTAATAATGCACATTTAAACACAACCTTAACAATGAGAATGACCTGCTTTCTACTAACTACTGACCAGCAAACAGTTGTCAGTAGGTAATATTGGGAGGCAGTGGTGATGTCTGGGTCATGGATGTGAGAAATGTGATTTCAGTTTTGTTGCTGTTGTTGTTATGTTTGTTGGTAGTCAGTGATTCTTGAACCTTCAGTTTTCCCAGTAGCCCTTACTTACTAGTCTTAGGAAGAATATAACATGTGGCAGTCTCATGATTAGTGTGAAAATGAGTAACCCTGAAGTAGTGATGAATGTAAATAAATGATGTCTTGAAATACTTATGAGACTCAAAATAGTATGCAAATATGTGGCTCATTTTCATGGTGTACCATTTGTTGTCAGCATTCATAATGGATACTAGAGTATAATTAGAATGCTCTGAAAATGGCATCTATTTGCTCCAATAACTGTCCCAGTTTCCTTTCTGTTGCTGTGATAAAACACCAACCAACAGCAGTTTAGAAGATGAATGGGCTTTTTCGGCTTACACTTCCAAATTACAGTTCATCGTTGATGGAAGTCATGGCAGGAACTCACTGGTAGAAACTATAGAGGAACACTGCTTGCACAATCATGTTCATCTTATACAGTTTAGGAAAACTTGGTCAGGGAGTGGTGCCACCCACAATGGTGTGGGCCTTTCTACACAACTGAAAAATTAGACAGCCCTCTCCCCCAACATGCCTACAAGCCATTATTGTCTACACAATCCCTCCATTGATACTCCCTACTCAGTTGACTCTAAGCTGGGTCAAGTCAACAGTTAGAGCTATTTAGGGCAGACTCCCAGAAGGCAAACCTCATTTTAGAAATTATGTGAGAGAGAGGGAAAAAATTACTAGTGTATCAGGAAGAATGTATAATTTGTGAAGTCTGAGCTCTGATGCCAGGAAAAGAGGAGGGTTGAAGAAAGCCTGGAAGATAAAGAGACCCTAGGAGTCCTAGGCGGACAAGACATGCATTATGTACCAGCAAACGGGCTCCAAGGCAGGCAGATGCTGCCAGACATCCAGGCAAATGCTAGCACATGTAAATGTGTGAGGATTTATGCAGGCACACACACACACACACACACACACACACACACACACACACACACCAGCACAAGGCTGCAAGAAGGTACACAGACCACACAAGGTCTGGCAAAGGCAAAAGGTGACTTGTCTATGACCTCAAGGCCGTGTTTATAGACTCATACAAAGGTGACAATTTGCCACAAGTGGTTATATAACAGACTATGTTATTACTTGCTTTGGGACTTTCTGAACATCTAATGTCAGTCAGTTTTTGCTGACTGGTAGCTGCCTTGTAGCTAGCATTAGCCATCTTGGCCGAGGCCTGGTATCCATGTCAGCGCCATGATATCTAAACATAAACAGGCCTTCTGTTTCCTTCAGCTTTGTAAACTTCTCTTAAGCAGTATGAAGCTGCATGTGGCTTCTAAGCTTCTTGAATATAAGGTTTCAAGATCACTATTCTAATTGTTTATTATTTTCTAATAACCAAGAAAGGAAGTTAGAATGTGCATCTTATTATTCACATTTTAGGAAGAATGAATTGGGATTTGTATAATTTAAATGTGACCCATAGAATTTCTGGCAAGTACTAGATGTAACCATATTTTCAAATCTGGGCCATTGCATCATCATTGGTATTCTTCTTTTATTCTTGTGTGTGTGTGTGTGTGTGTGTGTGTGTGTGTCCACACACACTCATACATGTAACACAAATAATGAAAACCCAGAGACAGATATTGGGGTTCAAGCTTCAAGCTGAAGATCAGAGAAGCAAAGCAGCCAGCCACTAGCTCTTACCTCTACCTCAGACCAAAATAGCAACCCTGTCTCCACGAATCCTCAGAGGCAAAATGCAGACTGCACTGCTCTCCACCAAGCCCCAGACTGCAGTTCTATGCCTGTCTGGAAACTAAATCTCACATGAGACTCTTTGCTTCTTCCTCTTATACCTCTCAAATCCTGGGATTAAAGGCCTGAGCTCTGATTCACTCTCATGTAGTCTTGGATGGTTTTGGACTCAACAGAGATCCCTCTACCTCTGCCTCCCAAGTGCTGGCATTAAAGGTGTGTGATCCCAAGTGCTGAGGTCACCTTTGTGTGAGCTGTTTCTCTTTTAGACTGGGTCAATTTTGTGTAGCCTTGGACTAACAGAAATCTATCTGTCTCTGTCTCTGGAGTCTTGGGATTCAATGTGTGTGTCACCACTGCCTGGCTCTATGGCTGCAGCTACTTTGCATTTTGATTTCTAGTAGCTTTATTAAATCATAAACAATATATCATCATACATACATCTGTACACATGTGTGCAGGTGCCCGTGGAGGCCAGAAGAGGTCATGAGATCCTCTGGAGCTAATGTAGATGACTGTTGAACTGTCCAGTGTGGGTGCTTGAAGCTGAATTCAGATCCTCTGCAAGAATCTCAGCATTGGTATTCTGAAGGAAAACTGTGTTATACATAATCCATGATTTAGAAATGCTTACTAATATATCTGTGTTTGTGTTTTATTATAGTATGGACCAATATTTACCATCTTTGCTATGGGAAACCGAATGACCTTTGTTACTGAAGAAGAAGGAATTGATGTGTTTCTAAAATCTAAACATGTAGACTTTGAACTAGCTGTACAAAATCCTGTCTATCACACAGGTAACCAATATTTTTAGATAGTTCCTTTGAAGTATAACACTGAAACCCAAGAGTAATTTTGAATAAAATTACATCCTCCGTCCTCTATCAAGAATAGTGAAGGACAATCATTTTGTTATTAAAGTAGGGTTAGAATGAAGAATATATGTAATATATAATAAATAGACTGGGTCACTGAAAAGGAGATATTGACAGTCTGACACATTAGGTTTCATTTAGACATGTCAGTGAGATAGGCTTCTGTCACAGGTGTATTTTAGGGACCCTTTGGAATCTCTAGTGTGTTACAGCACCTAGGTGAATGCAATGTTCTACAGGCTACAGCTCTTGGTTTGATTGTACTTTGCTTCCCTACAGTAGAGTTTCCCTGCTTAATAAGCAAGTCCTTATTATGGCCTCTCCTGAGAGTGCCCCACAGGGGCTATAAGTCTAGCTGGACTGAGTTCTCCTTTCTTACGGCCTCCATCTGTCTTAGGCTGCTTGCTGTCACTGGAGAATGTGTTCCTGCTGTGGCTGTGGCTGCCTTTCTCCCTAGGTCTTGTGCCTAGGCCATGAATCTTCCCCGGAATACCTGCCTGGCTTCTTGCCTAGGGTCTTCTTCTTCCCTGCCCCTCTTCCTTCTTAGAACCCTTTAATGGACTCTGCTACACATTTCTTGGTATTAAGACAAAGATCGTTGAAAACCACACAGCTGCGGTGCCTGCACCACAAGCAACTCCAAGGTATCAGGAAAAGAAAGACCAGATGTCCAGCTGTTTGTACTAAGAAGAGTCTTTATTTTGCAAGTGCTAAGAGGTCTCTCTCTTGTAAGAGGGAGCAGTCTTAAATATAGTCTTACAACACAGTAGAAAAACCCCAGGTGGAAGAGATCGTGTTTTCCTCCTGTTAGATGTTGATGTCAGTAAGCCAGGACTAGAAAACAGGACAAACAACTCAGAGACCCTGTGGGGTCTAGGCCCCAACACACAGCGGTTAAGATTTAGCCACGTTTCTCTTGAAAGATCACAGTATATTGGCTAAATTCACTGCTCTCTAGTGTTTGTGATAAATAAGCTATGGAGTTTCAGATAGATGAATATAAATACTTTGAGGGCTATTGTTCTATATGGTAACTCATTTCTTCAGTAAAAGGTACTAACTTACCTGCCGGTGGCCTATGAGTATTATTGGGATGTTCACCGAGGCTCCCCTGTGACCTTTCATGTTAATTTCTACTGAACATATAAAATCTGTTAACATTTACTCTCCAGCAGCCTCTCACGCTTATCAAACAGTCTGCTACCACGCTCAGGAGATCTGAATTCCATTTAAATTTACACAAAATACAACTTGAACATAGCAGAATCATGAAATACAACTTGAACACAGCAGAATCATAAAATACAACTTATTTCTTTAAAGATTCTTTAAAGACTTTTAAAAGATTCTTTGATTTGGTTAATCAAACCAGATAAAAAATTTTTTAGAAAGTAGTCTAAAAAAAAAGAAAACTCTTGACCCTACCCCAACCTAACCTAAGTTGATATTGTAGAAGGAAGATGAATATTCTATAAAGAAGTATTCTACAGTGGGGTCAGAGTGATTCTGCTGGAAGAAATGGTCAAGAAGATACTTAGAAGGAGAACTGGGGGGATATTGATGTGTGTCTAGAAATGGGGGTTTGGGTGGCAGAGCAGTGAGTGTTCTAGGTGCAAATAATAGCTTTCAGAATTCTAGGGAGTTCAGGATACTATGCTCTTTCATATGGCAAAACAGATCTACTGAGTTTATGTGCTGCGAGGACTCTGTCAGTAGTCCCTACTGGCCAATTTGTAGCAGAAGCATATAGATTATACGCCACAAGGGATTGTTGCTCCTTTTTTGAAAATAGTTCCCTCTGTTTCTAGCATGGATTCCAAAGAATGTCTTTTTAGCACTTCATGAGAAACTGTATGTCTTGATGAAGGGGAAGATGGGGACTTTCAGCATGCATCAGTTTACTGGGCAGCTGACTGAGGAATTTCATGAGCAACTGGAAGCTTTAGGCACCCATGGGACCATGGATCTGAACAAATTTGTAAGGTAAATAAATTGTTTTAATCTACAAATAAAAGCTTGAAACTAATACACTGGATTTCTAAATTCACCTGGTGGATTAATGTTCTCTGTCTAACCAGACCACTGTGAATTTTTTTAAAGCATTAAATTCTAATTAATAGGCACTTTGTAGTTTAGCATTCTCACCTTTGTCCAGCAAATAAATCAACAGTCATTTGACAAATGAATAGTCATAAAGTCTCCACATGAAAAATTGAGTTGCCAAAGCTCTTTCTCACCCCAGTAGAACCTTAGGTTTATAAAGGCAGAGAGAGTGAACTAGAAGTAGAATCAGGATATCAGCTCTCAAACCCCACCCCACAGTAATGTACTTCCCCCAGCAAGACCCCACCTCCCAAAACATAACCTTCCCAAAGAGTGCCATCGGATGGGGCCAAGGGTTCCATACAGAAGCATACAGGGGACATCCTCAATTCATTCATGCCACAACAGATAACGTCAACAGATGTCTCAGTAGGCAATAGTGTGAATGTGCAGACTTTTGAGAGAAATTGGGAAATGAAAGATTACTCTTACCTGTTTTATTCCTAGTGTATTTGCTACTACACTCAGAGACATGAGTGGCGCCCTAGTTGTTCCTATTATCCAAATAAATTCCCATTGGATGGCATTCATTCAGCTTATTTTTCTTTATCGTTTTGCATTTGCCTGGGTCTAAGATGTTTCTTTAGAATGAATTTTTAAGTCTTCAGGGCTGGAAAGAGGGCTCAGCAGTTAAGAGCACACATGTTCTTCCAGAGGACCCAAGTTTGGTTCCCAGTCCATACATTGCACAGCTCACAGTTGCCTGTAACTCCAGTGCCAGGAAAACCCGACTAACCTGATCTTCCATCACCTCTGTCCCCATATCCACACAGAGACACATGCGTACACACGTAATTAAAAACAAGGATTTTTTATTGTTGTTTTTGAGAAAGAAGTTTTTGTTGTTTTGGGGATTTAGAGACAGGATTTCTCTGTAGCTTTGGAGCCTGACCTGGCACTCACTCTATAGACCAGGCTGTCTTCGAAAGGATATTTTTAGATCTTCAGGTAAACGTAGTCTCATTCTAGTCACCCTAGAATGACAGCTTGCCTTCCAGCAGCAAACGTTAAAATTTCCCAAGAATGACTTTCCTTCAAAGCTATGTCCCATTATCCACCGCTCATTTGTCATTTTAAGAGAATTCCATCTTTGTATCTAAAGCTTTTATTGGCTGCCTGGTTGACTTCCTGAGTGTCTTTGTCTTTGCAGGCATCTTCTTTATCCAGCCACAGTTAATACTCTCTTTAAGAAAGGGTTGTTTTTCACAAATGAGAGGAAAAGCAAGGAGTTCTACCAACATTTTAAAACTTACGACGAGGGCTTTGAGTATGGATCCCAGCTGCCGGAATGGCTCCTGAGGTACGGTGGCCTTCTGTAATTGCTGCTTTGATTGGATTTCTTTTCAGCAACACATACCTATATTTACATCTATATCTAATCTCCACCTGGCTCTCTTCTTTGGCGTGTGTTTGCACAGGTGTGCCCTGTGTGAGTGTGGAGGCCAGACGATGACACCAGGTCCCTCCTTCAACATTCTGCACTGTAGGTTTTAAGATAAGACTGATCACCACACCTAGGACTCAACATTTTGGTTAGATTTGCTGGTCATTGAGCACCAGCATCCCCCATCTCTGCATGGGGTTGCAAGTGCATGCTGCCATGCTGTAATGCATGCTGCCATTCTGGAGTGCATTCTGCCATGCTGGAGTGCATTCTGCCATGCTGGAGTGCATGATGCCGTGCTGGAGTGCATGCTGCCATGTTGGAGTGCATGCTGTCATGCTGGAGTGCATGCTGCCATGCTGGAGTGCATGCTGCCATGCTGGAGTGCATGCTGCCATGCTGGAGTGCATGCTGCCATGTTGGAGTGCATGCTGTCATGTTGGAGTGCATGCTGCCATGCTGGAGTGCATGCTGCCATGTTGGAGTGCATGCTGCCATGCTGGAGTGCATGCTGCCATGCTGGAGTGCATCCATTCATGTTGGAGTTCATGCTGTCATGTTGGAGTGCATGCTGCCATGCTGGAGTGCATGCTGCCATGCTGGAGTGCATCCATTCATGCTGGAGTGCATGCTGCCATGCTGGAGTGCATGCTGCCATGCTGGAGTGCATGCTGCCATGCTGGAGTGCATCCATTCATGTTGGAGTTCATGCTGCCATGCTGGAGTGCATGCTGCCATGCTGGAGTGCATCCATTCATGTTGGAGTTCATGCTGTCATGTTGGAGTGCATGCTGCCATGCTGGAGTGCATGCTGCCATGCTGGAGTGCATCCATTCATGCTGGAGTGCATGCTGCCATGCTGGAGTGCATGCTGCCATGCTGGAGTGCATGCTGCCATGCTGGAGTGCATGCTGCCATGTTGGAGTGCATGCTGCCATGCTGGAGTGCATGCTGCCATGCTGGAGTGCATCCATTCATGTTGGAGTTCATGCTGTCATGTTGGAGTGCATGCTGCCATGCTGGAGTGCATGCTGCCATGCTGGAGTGCATCGCATGTCATGTTGGAGTGCATGCTGCCATGCTGGAGTGCATGCTGCCATGCTGGAGTGCATCCATTCATGCTGGAGTGCATGCTGCCATGCTGGAGTGCATGCTGCCATGCTGGAGTGCATGCTGCCATGTTGGAGTGCATGCTGCCATGCTGGAGTGCATACTGCCATGCTGGAGTGCATCCATTCATGCTGGAGTGCATGCTGTCATGCTGGAGTACATCCATTCATGCTGGAGTGCATGTTGCCATGCTGGCTTTCATGGGGTGGCTGGTAATCTGAACTCAGGTCCTTGTGTGTGCGTAACAGGCATTCTACCTTCTGAACCACCTTCCTAGCTCTCATTTCTCTTGTTTGTTTTATACTTTATTTTTTTCATGTCAGTGTATGTATGTGTGTATGATATGTGTGCTCGTGTGTGGTGTGTAGTGCACTTGCCATAGAGAAGGTGTGGCGGTCAGAGGAAAACGCTGGGTTCTGGTACTTGCTTCCTACCTTGTTTTAGAAAGGGTCTAAAACATCTCAGCACAATTCAGGTTAGCCGGCCAAGCTTCTAGGGATTCTGTTGTCTCCACCTCCCATCTCCCTGTAGGAGTGCAGGAATTACACGTGAATGCTACCATGACTAGCTTTCAATAGGTTCTGGAGAATCAAACTCCTCTGGTCTTCAATACCATGTGGCAAGCGCTTTATCCACTAAATCATATTCCCAGCCACATTCTCTCTCTTAAGTAGAATAGCATCAACTGAGGTGGAAAGAAGCTGTTTCTATGACGTTTTGGTTTTCTTTAATGGTGGTTGGGAGGGGTGTGGTGTTCTCACTATGTAGCCCAAGCTGGCCCTGGAACTCGTGGCCTCAGCCTCCAGGTTGCTGGCACTGCAGGAGAGCTCCAGTGCGCCATCCCACCAGGCCCCGAAACCTGCTTGTTTTAGTGTGCATGCGTAAAGTGAAGGAGGAACAAAACTTCCTCCTTCCTTCTCTTTCTTTCTTCCTTCTGTCTCCCTCCTCACCTTCCCTATCCCTTCCTTCCTGTAAAACAGTGGGGCGGTGGGAGGAAGGGTGGGAGTGGGGGGGGAGAAGATGGCATGGAGAATGTATTTGAGGCTCTTTACAAGTACAGTATATCATTGCTGGATTGATTATGTTTGAATCCATGCTAAATCAGCCTCCTCCCTTGTAAGGTATGAGTGGGCGTGATCAAATGCATTTGTCACCATCGGCTCAGACAAACATTTGTAAGATGCAGTGGAAAGTAACTGCATTTTAAAAAAGTTCATGGCAATTACTGTATGTTTTATCCATTTGGACAGTTGCAGGTGGCATGAATGGGTAACTTATAAGCAATAAAAACTATATTTTCCATAGTTTGAAGGTCGTGACATCCAAGATGAGGGTACCAGCAGGATAGTTTCTGAGGAGGGATTCCTTTTGACGGCAGACTGTCAACTTCTGACTGTGTGTGTGTTTTGTAAAGACACTAATCCCATTGGTAAAGGGTTTACCCTGTCGTGTGATTATTGTCTGTTGCACCCTTCCCCCATGGGGGGGGTCTGTTGACCGCTTGTTACTAGGAGCTTTTAGCAAAACACTTCTCGTCCCCTCCTCCCTGTAAGGCCTGTGTGCAAGTTCCTGTTTTCTGTCCATCTTTATTGTCTAAATGCTAATTCCTGTTTTTGTCAACCACACTTTGCTAGAGGGCCCTGGGAACATAGGATTCTGACCTTGGTGGTTTTCCACCTTGCCCACCTTTGGTATATAATGCTCCACTCTTGTTAAAATAAATGCCATTCTCTTTGTAAGAATGAGCCACTGTCTTTGTCTTCATTTACATCCTTAGCCCTTCGCCCTTCGCCTCTGAGCTTTTGTAAAGTGTTGTAGCGCTGTATCGAACATCACCGCGGCTCACTACAATTGTCTTTAATGCCCTGTTCCCTAATACGATCATGTCCAGGTTGAGAATTTCAGCATTTGATTTTGCAAGGACCCAGATCATTAGCAGTGGATGCTGGTGATGGTCAGGCAAGGATAAAATGATAGCCGATGGACTTTGTTTAACTGAACCAGCATCTGACCTCTGTGCTGGACTTTCCTCCTGTCATCTTAGGACAGGCACAGAGAACAGGCAATTGACATATGATTTCCTCCTCTTGTGGTGTTATAGTACGAATCACAGTAGCTATTTAGAAAGACACTAAAATTCGTTGTCTTGCTCCCTCAGTTTTACCTGTGAACTAGTAATTCAGAATTGAACCTTTTTGGACATTCTGACTGGAAGCAGAGATGAAATTTGAGGAAATTATTCTACATTCAGAAATATTCTCTCCTTTTAAAAGTACATAATATATTTATTTTATGTACATTGGTATTTTGTCTGCATGTGTGTCTGTGTGAGGGAGTCAGATCCCCTGGAACTGGAGTTATAGGCAGCTGTGAGCTACCATGTGGGTGCTGGGAATTGAACTGAGTCCTCTGGAAGATCAGCCATTGGTCCTTAACCACTGTGCCATCTCTCCAGACCCTTCATTCTTTCCTTTAATGTTATAACCTGTCACCCTAAACACCCCTGCAAATCACTGCATATATATGTATCAATTTTTTTAATGCAGAAACTGGTCAAAGTCTAAAAGATGGCTCCTGGCGCTGTTTGAGAAAAATATTGAAGAAATAAAAGCTCATAAGCCTGCAGAAGGTCATTCTGGGGTGAGTATCTTCTTTACTAAGATGTATGTAACTAACATGGAAATAAACAGTGATTATTACAAAACATTTCTTAGCCAGGAAATGTGTGTGATTGGATATAATTTTTGTACCAAGTGATACACTGGGCATACTTATATACATTATTTTAATATCATAGCCTCACAGCACCAAGGCATTCTAGCCTATAGGATTACAAAATGGATGCTACAAATAACAAAGTAAAATGAAACTCTTGTTTTTTTAAAATTTATTCTCATACAGTTGGCTATGTCAAAGGGCAGAGTTACAGTTTAAAGGTCTTTGTTGCTTTGTGGCATAATTCTTGAATTAGGCAACTTCCCATTCCTTACAAAAAATGAAATGTTTTCATTAGCTGAGTGGAACAGTTTGGTTTTATAGAATTATGCTAGAGCAGGGTTCTCAGTCTGTGGGTCATGACCATCAGAAAGTACATATTTCTGATGGTCCTAGGAACCCCCAGCCATAAATTTATTTTCATTGCTACTTCTTAACTGACATTTTGCTACTGAATAGTGTCTCAGTTCCTGAGACCACTGGAAATATGTGTTTTCTAATGGTTGGAACTCACAGGTTGAGAACCACTGGGTATAGACCTATGAAACTCAGAAATAAACAACAATAACAACAACAAACCCAACCTAAGACCGAGGACAGAACAATTAAACTATAACCGTTGGGTTAAAATTGGATTATTCTGGTTATGTAAGGAATAAGGAATAAGGAATAAACTGGACTCAGTGTCATCTTCGCCATCACTCGTGATCTGATTGGGCAACATCAGCTCCTCACTCTCCCAATTTCTAAGAAGGAACTTAGCTTCCATCCTATGATATGGGACTTTGGGTTGAACAAAGCCATAGTGATTTTGTTGTTGTTGCTGTGGTTGATGGGTGTAGGTGCCCGCCCTTACTCGCCAGGTCAATGTCACCTGATATGACCCCAAGGAACGAAACAAGGCCAGTTGGAGGGAGCACAGCAAAACTTAAAGCTGTGGTAATTTTATTAAGAGCGATCAGACTTTTTATACCTCTGTCAGAAACAGAATGTCATTGCCAGGATCATTAGAGATGTAGTTGCCAGAACTCAATGACGTTGGCAAGCTATACAAAGTACACAAGATTAATGTCTAAGACCAACTGTCCTGTCAAGCTTCCATGCTTCCTGGACTTCCAAGGGAACATACAGAGAGGCACCAGGCAGTCTGACTGCTTCGCTGCCTGAAGGAGTGCATTGGTCGCTCAGGAACTGGAAGGTACTACGCAGTGTCCTAGGAACCACTTCAGTAGTTGTTTCCATGACTGCAAGGAGCTGAACCAGTGTGAGTTAAAATATAAAGCAGGAGAAGCAGTTCCCAGGAGTTACTCTAGAGCCACGATTCTTTCAGTGTGGTCCACAGACTACCAGCATCCCCTGGGTACCACTCACAAACTATGGAGTGGAGCCCAATGGCAGCACCTTTTGAGGCAACCCTCAGACTTTAAGTCAAGGTTTTCACCCCTGGCTGTGGGTAGAGTCAACTCTTGGAACTTTTAAGAGAAGTCAGATATGATTCCTGGGTCCTACACCCTCAGAGCCTGGGTTCCATGTTCTGGGTTGCTAGGCTTCAAATTTGGTCTCCAGGTGTGACCTTACACACAGGTCCTAACCTCTAGACCTCACTTTCCTTGCCTGTCTTTTACAGCATAATGAGGTTAAGTTAGTTCATTTTGCGGAGGACTTAGACATAGTAAGGACACAGTGAGAGTTTGCTTTTATCAACCTTTAAAAACTCATCTCAAGAACAGGAGGACGACTCTGTTAGTAAGGTGCTCGCCATGCAAAAGCAAGGACCTGAGTTCCATGCTCAGAACCTACATAATAAAACTGGGCATGGCGTCCTGTACTTAACAATCCCGGTACTGGTGGAGACAGGCAGGTCCTTGGAACTCGTTGGTGATACAGACTGTCCTAATCTTCTATCTTTGGGCCGATGCAAGACCCCATATTAAAAAACAGGGCAGGAATTTTTGTCTTCTATGAAATTTTTGTTGCTAAGGAAGACAGGATTACAGTTTTGTCTGACAGATTGAGATGGCATGGTGTATTCTTGGTTATCAAAATACTCATGTAGCATGGGGTTTTTAGTTGGTGAATATTCACAATGTGGGGGAAAGCTTGGTACACACCGTGTAATCTCAATTACCTAAATGTATGTGCACTCGCAGCTTCTGGAAGGATGCATCAAGCTGAGCTGCTTGTGACTGGCAGACTGTGCTTGGCTTCTTGTGTTTTGCTTCCTGTAATGCACATACTACAAAATAAAAGCTTCTTTTAAAGGCTAAAAAAAAGTGTGGGGAGGGAGGTGGCTTCTGATGAGTGACAACACCCGCCGCTGTCCTCTGACATCCACATGCATTCAAACACACTCACACACACACACACACACACTCATGCATGCAAACACACACTCACACACGCTCACACACTCACACACTCATGCATGCAAACACACATACTCACACACACACACTCACACACTCATGCATGCAAACACACACACGCACACACTCTCTCACACACACACTCACATACACACTCTCTCTCTCTCTCTCTCTCACACACACACACACACCTGCATACACATAAACATACACACAGAGGAAACGGGAGTAGTCATTTAAAAACTGGCTCTGAAGATCTGCAATCCCAGCTATCAGGAGGCTAGGGCTGGAGGTTGGTAAATACAAGGTCTGCCTGGAGGTTATCTCAGAATAAAAGGAGAAGGCTGTGGATGTGCTCAGTGATGGGGTGATTCCTTAGTATGCTGAGATTCTGGCACCAAAGCCAAACAAAAACCCCACTTCAAATATTTTAGCATTTAAAAGTGATATAGAAAGCTTCTAATTTTAGTTGTATATTAAGTGTCACTAGCAATGCTACTTATCTCTAGAGAGGAAGACAGCTTTAGAAAAAAGGAATATGTAAATGATTCGTATCTGTGATGGCTAGTCTTAATTTCTAAATGAACACAATCTAGATCATCTGGAAAGAGAACTTTAATGAGGGATTTTATGGTAGGTGTGTCTCCAAGGGTGCACTGTGGGTGGCGCCATTCCCTAAGCAGAGGATCCTGAATTGTTTGAGAGTGGAGGCAGCTGGCTCAGCACTAGCATTCACTCATTCACTGTTCTTTATTCCTGACAATGGATGTGACTAACTGTTTCAAGCTATTGCTGCCTTGACTTGCCCAAAGTGGTAGACTGTAGTCTGGAATTATGCACTAAAATAGTTCTTTTCTTCCCTTTTTTTTAAGGGGTATTTTATTTTTCTTTTAACCACAGTGGCAGGGAACGAAACCCATGCAGTATCTTTCTCCTTGTCCTATGTCCTTCCTGTTGCTGTGATAAACATCTTGACAAAAGGGACTTAGGGGAGGAGAGGGTTTATCTCATTTTATGCTTCCAGGTCATGACCTATCGTTGAGGGAAGTCTGGGCAAGAACTCCTGGCAGGATGCTAGAGGCAGGAACCATGGAGCAACTGTGCTTGCTTAAGGCTCAGTCTCATTCGCAGGCATATGCTCCACCCACAGTGGGCTGGGCCCTCCTGCAGAAGTTAACACAGTCAAGACTTGGAACAGCTAGATGTGCGGTTGGGCAGCAGGAAATGAAGCCCGTAATTAAAACGATCCGTTCTGCTTTTCCATCATTACGGATGTGACAGATAATGACACAGCAGATAACATTTATGTGCCAGTCATAGTTACCTACACAAAGCCCTTTCTTGTTTCTTAGAACAACTTTAAGGCCAAGAAGACGGTTGGCAGGGCTGATCAATCTGGAAAACTTGTGTGCTTCAGCAGCAGCAAGTGGTTCCAGCAACTCCATTTCCCTCCTGCCCTGTGTGTGCTTGTCTTTCACACTTACTGTGCTTGTTTTCTCATGTGAAGACTGAATGTGGATAATAGTAGCTGTGTCTTGGAGCCATGGCTAATCTACACATGAGCAAAACACCTGTAAAGGCCTTAAAACGGCACTATTCCCAGACAAGCAGGGGATGGTTCACAGCTCCCATATTGTTTCCCTGTTATGGGACTGAGTTAAGGTTAGAAACATATTTGAGTGCCTGCCCCTCTGGTGGGGAAGCAACCTTGGGCAAAAGCGATCTGAGAAACCTCTGGAATGAAGACAGTTACAGAATTTCTTCGGTGACCTGGGGAACAGTGCTCTGAGTGGGTGCCATGTAAGTCAAAACATCTGTTTTCCCAGGAGCATATTTGAGGCAAGCCCTCCGCTTCCGGAATATATCTCTAGTTCTCCTTTTGACTTTTTATTTTGAGAAAGAATTTTATTAAGTCGCCAGAGCCGGTCTCGAACTCACTTCGGAACCCAAACATACTGTGAATGTGAAATTCTCCTTCTCCAACCTTTCAAGTCGCTTGATTACCAGCCCTGTACCACCAGGCCTTGCTACTTAGTTTTCTTAAGAGCAGAGGTTTGCTTGTGTTAAAAGGTTAACGTCTGGGTTGAGCACATAGCTCAGCTAGTAGAGTGCTTGTCTGCTATGCAGGAGGACCTGATTTCAGTCTCTAACATTGCATAATAACAACAATGGTAACAGCTGGGCGTGGTGGTGCACGTCTTTAATCCTGCTGTTTGGAAGGTAGAGGCAGGGAGATCTCTGTGAGTAAAAGGCCAGCCTCAGCTACATAGTGAGTTCCAGGTCAGTCAAGCCTACATACTGAGACCCTGTCTCAAAAACCAAACACAGTATTTATGAAAATAAAAACATCACAAGTAACAAGCAATCCTCAGCAAAAACCAAAACCAAAACCAATGCTGGTCTGGGTGTAACTCAGTCAGAAGAGTGCTGGTTTAGCATGTACAGGGTCCCAGGCTCATCCCCCATACTGAATAAGCCCGGTGTGGTGGTACATTCCTGGAATCTCAGCAGTAAGGATGGAGAGGTGGGAGGATCCCGAGCTCAAGGTCATCTTCACGTACAGAGAAAGTTGATCTTGCTTCAAGTATTTTATCAGCAACTACACTAACATTTAATTCTCAAAAATTTGTGAGGTAGGTACCATATCAAGGTTATCTTATGGATGAGGAAACTCAGTCACTGGGACATTTGTGTGATTTGTACGGGATCATTCATTTCCCTAGTAGCGAAGCCACGAGGCAGAAATTCAGCTGTATACCCAGGAGCTCCTGCCTCCCATTCCCACACTACCACCCAGTGTACAAGTGCCTTAGCATGCTTTAGACTGCAAGCCTTCAAATAGCAGACACAGTCTCTCTTGGATTAAAAACAAGTGAGTGAAGATTCCAGGGCCATGGCTCAGTCTAGTCAAAGCCTGAGGGTCTTAGCTTCAGATCCCCAGAACCCACACAAAAATCTGGGTGTAGTGACACATGCCTGTACCCCCAGCTCTGGGCAGACAGGGAGCTAGGTGGGTTCCTCAAGCTCCTTGGCTAGTCCAGCTAGCTGAACTGCGGAGCTTTGGGCTCTCATAAGCGATTCTGTCTCAAAAATAAAGGTGGCGCATGGCAGAGAAAAGACCCAGCGCCGGCCGCTGGCTTCCTTGTATGCACACACTCGCATGCACATCCACAGCACAGAGGAAAAAACAGCAGAGTGATTTCTTGTTTATGGACGTCAGGCCTCGTCACATAGCTGTGATCTAACAACAGTCATTTCCTTCTCACAGACCCTCATGCAGGTCATGCTGGATATCGTGAAGACGGAAACAGGTCAACACAGTCCTAATTATGCACTGCTGTTGCTTTGGGCCTCTCTGGCCAATGCTCCTCCTGTAAGTACACAGGGCTCACTTCTATCTGTTGGACTTTTGTTTGTTCTTTTGCATCATTTTCTCTCTCTCTTGGTCTTCATTCTTCACTTACTTTGGGGAACAAAAATGTATAACAGTGGATTGGGATGTAAGCTAAAAAGCAAACATGAATTCTTGATAGGGTCTGACCAGTGGCTCAGCGGGAGAAATGCTTGCCTCACAAGCTACAGGACCTGAGTTCTTAAATGCTGGTGGGTGTGGCAGGCTGCCTGAAATCCCACTGCTGGAGAGGTGGAGATCAGGGATCTGTGGGCCAAGCTGGCCAGCTGAACCAGCCTGGTCAGTGAGCTCTGGGTTCAGCGAGAGCTCGTGTCTCAGTGACGAACACAAAGAGTGACCAAGGAGGGTGACCGACACCAACCCCTGGCTTCCACAGGCAGGAGCATACAAGTGCACACATCTGCCAAAACATACATGCTTACACACCAAATGAATGTGCCCTTGAATGAGTGTGTGCCTACACACACACATACACACACACACACAAAATACACACACAAAATCCCCCACCTTCCCAAAAACCCACTCCAAAACACTAAGGAGGCGAAGCCTAGCTCCAATGAGAATTCTGCCCCCTGACATGCTCGGCCCTTGGGGCTCCCTGTGTGCCATGTAAGGGGCTCTGACTCCATGTGCTCTGTGTGCTGCACTGTTGAGCAAAGTCCAGCCCGGCTTTGAACCAGGGTGAGAGTACAGCAGCTGATCGATTCAGGTACAGTTGCTCATCTCCAGCCCCAACGGTCAACACTTAAAATCTTTGTGCCTCCTTTTCCTTTGCAGGAAGTCTGGGGGAGGCGGGAGATAATATGAATACAAACGTTACAAACTTCTAACAATGACCCTGGGAACAATCCCAGGAATTGCTCATTTTCCTATCAAGTCTCTGTGAGAACCAATAAGATGCTCTCGTCATGTCCAGTGAATGTGAGCTCTCCCTCTCCTCCTGGGTACCAATGTATTTCTTGGCTCTACAAGCTTCTCTGTGAATGGGGCTTATGACATTGACATTCACGGCACATCTAAAGATAACAGGGACCTCTAAAGCCCATTTATTTCTGTGTAGTTATTTTAGTTGCTGAATTAATTTAGTTTTTTTGTTTGTTTAGAGGCAGTCTTGCTGTGTAGCCTCAGGCTGCCCTTTAACTTCCAGTCTCAAGTGCCGAGATTATAGATGTGATACAGTGTTGGGCAACTGTTTCCAATTATGAATTTTCTTTTACTAAGTGAACAAAACAACGGGTTGCCTTAGGACATCTTTATCCATGTATATCATTGAACTTGGCTCATGGTCACCCTCATTACCTCCTCTTGTCTCCACACCTACTCATTTCCTTCCTTCTTCCCAAATATTCCCTCATTGCTTCCATGGTGCGTGCGTGCGTGCGTGCGTACATGCGTGTGTGTGTGTGTGTGTGTGTGTGTGCACGTGTGTGTATGTGTGTGTGTGTGTGTGTGTTCTTTTAAAGCTTTTATGAACTAGGTGAAAGCCAGGAGATTTGTGTTTACTCTTCCCTGCCTCCCTGGTCAGCACAGTCTCCTTACCCCAAGCTGTTCATTACGTTGGCTGAAGAGGAAGGATGACTGTCTGTGTTTGATGAAATAGGAACACTCAGCCCATGTCTGGTAGCTATGGTCATTTTTTCCTTTTCTCAAGCAACTAGAAATAAGAATTCCACATTTCTCTTTCCTTTTTCTGAAAGCCTAGGTGGCTGGATAATTTCTAGGTCCCAATAACTCTACTTCTTTTAATCTGTTGTATATAATGGAGACAGATAGTCTGGCCTTTCTGATCCAACATGTGCTACCCACGGGCATCTATTTCATCAGTGCCAGTCAAGTGAGGAGCCCCAGGGCTCCACTCCTCGGTACGCCCTCCCAGTCTTCTCCGACTCTTCCCAACTAGCTGATTACACTAGAGCACAACTGAAGAGAAACTTCCCAAGCATGCAGACAACAGCCACAGTCAGAGCGTTAGTTCTCAGGGTCTCTCCAGAAAGGTCCCCTAAAGAAAGCCACACAAAGCGCTATTGACCAGACACAGAGGTCAGTTCTTTGTGATTGGACTTGGCACTGGTCTGAAAGGACGCGTCTGATGATGACTGGAAGTTTCATCTTGCTGAGTCTTCCTTGTTGGCACCTCCAAGAGGCATCGTGAAGCATGAGCTTAGAGGCTTGGAAAGATCTCCTCATCAGATCTGAATCCAGTTCCCGTAGCTGGGCGGCAAAGGGCTAGCTATTCCTTTAACCTTTCGCAGCTGCATGCGTGTCCTCATCTGAACTGCCTCCAAGGATGGTTGGGAGGATTGAACTGGATGTAATGTAAAGTGCTTCACAACATTGGTGCTCAATAAATAATGTGTGTGCCGTACATAAATGCACCACCCTTGTTGAAATCAATAGTTTCTTCCAATGGCCATTGATAATATAGACTGCCATGGGTCCCAAATGCTTGACCCTTCAATAGCTGGGATGGGCATGGCTCTACTGTTTTGGCTTTAGGATCGCCCATTGCTAAAGATACCCTAAGAGCTGTAAGTGATTGGTGGGTCATTCAGGCCCAGATAGGGTCAGTACTTCCTCTCTGCTCCCTTGAGGCCCAGGGAACCCAGAGCCTGAGCTTTAGATGGGATTGTCACCAGCTCACCAGGAGGGTCTATTGTGGCTGAGGTGTGCTCTGATAGACCACTGCAAGGTGTTGGTCATACTTCATGAGGTTATTTTGATGAAAAAAACATTCATTTCCTGGTTCTAAGAAGTTCCTGACTGGCAAATGAACTTTCTAGAACATTTCTCAGCCATATCAAAACTGACTTTTGCCATTTTTTTTATCTGCTGCTTCTCTGAAGTTGTAAGTAAGCTCAGGGGCCATCATTCCACTCAGTTATTGTCATGGTGGCACTTGTGTGGCCTTGCACAGTGACCTCTCCCCCCTCCCCAGGTGTATGTATCTCACATTTCTAACTAAATGCAAAGTCCTCTGATCAGAAATTGCTTTATATATGTTTGTGTTGGCCGTGATTAATAGAAGAATATCTGCAATGTTATAAAGATTTTTTTCTTTCTTGTTTAAAAACAAATGATCTATGATAGCCATCATTTTGGGTTTTGGACGAGAGTATTTCTTAAGTATATAAAAAAGCCAAGGTAAAAGAATAAATAGCAAGTGATGAGTAGATGATGGATGGACAGACGGATGGATGGAAGGATGGACGGACGGACGGATGGATGGATGGATGCATACATAGAAAAAACACCATCAAATTAGGCACTCGAAACATCCAGCAGAAATCAACTGGGAAGACATTTTAAGACATCCCGTTCTAGATGCCCATAGAGAGAGTCTTGACCAGAGCCGTGTCCTTTCTGGTGAGACTTCCAAGTGAAAGAACAAACAGCAACATAGAGGGATGGCATCATCAAATCAGGTGCTCAGAACTTATCAGAAACCAGCTGGGAAGTTACAGCAGCGGGAGTTCCCCTTTGAGTTCCGCGCCCGCTGCACAGCCTGTGTCTGCGAATGTGCGGAGGGTGTCAGGATTGATGACACAGAGACCAGGGGCTGTTGTTCCCCATCGAGCTTGCTCTCCACGGGTGAGCTTGCCACGGTTATGGTTGCAGCTTCTCCTTCCCACTGTACAACCTTTACATGTGGGCTGCCCAATGATAGCATCCGTTGGAAATGATCTCCCTTCCTGCTGGCTTGAGCTATCTTGTCGTCTGTCTTTCTTCCCTGTCACAGAGCGTGGGGGTCCATTTCCCACACCAGGGGGGCTGGGGAACTCCTGACAGTAACACACTAGGGTCTGAAGCAGGGAGACTAACTTCACTTCCAGGGACAGATTCCCAGTGCGCTTAACCAGCACGTAGCAATTAACTTAAGAAGTGCACTCCCAGGAGTCGACCAGCACTCATTACATCTCCTCTTGGCTGCCCTTGAAGGATGCAGCCAGCCTCAGAGCTTCCTTCAAGCCTCATCTCTTTTCACTTCCCCCTTAGCTCTCCTGCAAGTGGCTTTTTGAAGCTGCCCCACAGTTTAGTGGCCAGGTGGCTCTCTTTTTTTGTACTCTGACCATGGACTTGACCCTGTGGCATGATATTGATTGTTACTCCCTTGGGCAGCGCTTTTGAAATCCTTTCTCAAATGTGTCAGTGACCTTAGGGCCACTTTTGCTCTTTGATTCAGCATTGCATAGAAATGTTTTATTAACTCTTTAGTATCTTTTCCTATTCTGGGGGAGGGGGGTGTATTGAGACAATGTCCTAGGCTAGCCTTGAACACAGGATCCTCTTGCTTCCTGGTGCCATACAGCCTAGCCCTTTCCTTGCTTTTAAGAAGTAAAGAAATCACTTCCTGTCCTTTGGCTGAGGTGATGCGTGACACCTGCTCTTACCGTTTTAGTAGCACATACACCCTCTATAAGAGAACAACACAGTAAAAATGGACCTTTGGAGCTGGGAGACAGGATGAGAGCTTGCACTGTCCACTCCATGCAACAGTCTGGCATTGCAGCACCTCCAGGAATGGTGCACCCCTCTTGGGGAAACTTCTAAAAGAAAGACGAACTCTCTCTCCCCTAACTCTCGTAGCAGGAGGCAGGGTCTCATGTAATCATATAGCCCAGGCTGACCTCACACTGGCTGTGTCTGGGAGGATGGCCTTGAACTCCTTATCCTTTTATACATGCCACTTTCTGGGATCCCTGTCCTGTACCTGCACACCAAAAGTACATTGTTTTGTTCTGATTTAATTTATCTTATGTGAGTATTTTACTGCACATGTGTAGTTTGTGTACACCTGCTGCCTATCTGTGGAAGTCAGAAGACAGCAGATCCCCCTGCAACTGGAGTTCTGGGTGGTTGTGAGCTGCTGCGTGGGTGCTGGGAACCGAATCCAGGTCCTCTGCAAGAGTAACAAGTGCTCTTAACCGCTGAGCCATCTCACCTGTCCTCAAAAGTGCTCTCTTAAAGGTAAAAAAGAGCAGACTTTTAGCTGGGCGGTGGTGGCGCACGCCTTTAATCCCAGCACTCGGGAGGCAGAGGCAGGCGGATCTCTGTGAGTTCGAGGCTAGGCTGGACCGATAGCCTCAGAAACAATACAGAGAAACCCTGTCTCGAAAAACAAAAAAAAAAAAAAAAAAAAGAGCAGACTTTTAAAAATGAGAACGCTGTGAAGGGAAACAGGCGCCAGCCATTTGTTATTTGAGCTGAATTCTAGAGTTTTCCACAGAAATAAATGGTACCTAGTTTTAGTGACTCTCAAAACCACAGCCAAGCACGCAGGACTTTGAGCTCTTGTGTCACTGAAGATCTATGACCACCACTGGAACACTTTCCCCACTGTGAACTCTCTGACTTCCAATGCGATCAGCTGAGTATGGAGTGATTATTAATCAAATCCAATAGCTCAGCACTTCCATTGAAAGCTCACGGGAGGAAGAGCCCGAGGAGGGAGACTCTCTGAGCAGCGTGTGAAGATGAGCTAGATAATCTCCAGGCTACATCCTTCCGGATACCAACGCTGCTCTGGAATCTGTGCACTGCAGGGGCCTCGGTCCTGGTCCTCTCATTCCTCTGTCTGTATCAAAGCTGTACATCCTAGGTTTTACCACCTCAGTGCAAGGGCAGAACGCCAGCAACCTGAGCTTCACAACTTTCAACACTTCCCTTCAGTATTGCTCTTCCCCTTTTGACCACACGGGGGAGGACTGGGATCGCTTCAAGGCCCAGGGTGCCATGGCTGCTAGTCTGCACGCAGGTGCAAAGGACCCCTTAAAAAGAAAGACCCCCCACCCACTTACGCTGTCTTTCCCTCTCTCTTTCCCGCCGTTCCTCTGGGACAGACTGGACTTTTCCTGTCTCCCCCTTCTCTTCTGACCTCTCTCTGTGTCTCTTTACCTCCTTTCTCTTTCCTTCCCCTCCTTCCCTTTTCTAGTAAAACTTATCACTTAAGCTCTGTCTGCCTGGAGTGTTTGTCCCAGCCTGGGTCACCTTCGCCTACGGTGGAATCCGCCATGGTCCCCCACGCAAGGTCCCCCTTTATTCTAACACCCACCCCTCCCTTGCCCCCAACACCTCCTGTGCCCACTTCCACCCCCTCCCAAGCCACGATCTCTGCTTTAATACAATAGATGCTTCCAGGAAAACAGTGAAAGGGAAACCCAAGCTTCCCAGGATCTTAAACATTCCTGTATTGCCTAACCTTAGAAACAAAAACTTCCACCTCAGCAGGAAGTTCGTTTTTAAGATGCACATTTTCGTCTTAAACATCTTTTATAGGGAAGGTATGAGATACTCAAACTAATTTATTGTGATAAATATTAGGAATGGTAAAAAATCAATCTCCAAACTATTTTAGCTCTTGTATAAAAATGCAAACGTGAAGACTGTCGTGGGGCAGGTGTTAAGGAGAATGAGGCATTTCACACAAGTCCAAATCTCGCTGCTTGAGTGACCCAGAGTAGAAGCAGGATTCTACACATCGAAACCATGGATGTTGTCTACTTGGTAGGAGACATTTATCATTGATTAAAAATTCCAACAGAGATCTTAGCTGTCCAATCTATATTAGAAGCAGATGCATTCATCTTGGTTTTAAAACCCTAGACTGAGGTTTGAAGCTCCTACCAGTGGCAAGTAGGAATTTTTTTGCATATTACCTTGAGTTACCATTGAAAATTACATTATTAGATAGAAAAATAATCCTGATAGGCCAAAAGAGAAAATTTACAGCTGTAGGAGGATATAAAATGGCTCTATTTTTTCTTGTGTTCAACTCTTGTACTTTTGTTTGCTTGTTTTACTTTCATTTTAATTTTGGGGGAGTGTTGGGCATTGAACCCAAGACTTTTTTAGATCTCTGGAAATCTCACTAGTGCCAAATCTCTCCTCGAACCTGTAAGATCTCTCCTCGAACCAATAACGGCTCCTTCTATTATGGTATCTCTCATCCTGCTCTCCTCTATTCTTACCCTGACTCAACCTTCCTTCTCCCCCATGTCCTCTCCCCTCCTCTTCTCCCCCTCTCTTTCTCCAATCTCCCTCTCCCTCCATGCCCCATGCTCCTCAGGAGATCTCGTCCCATTCCCCTTCTCTGGGTTACCATGCATATCTCTCTTTGGGTCCTCCCTGCTTCCCAGACTCTCTGGTGGTGGGATTGTAGGCTGGCACTCCCCAGTTCCATGTCTAAAATCCATATATGAGTGAGTACGTACCATTGCCATCACTCTTATTTGTAAAATCTAGCTATTTTGAAAAGTGATACTTAATAGCATGTGTTTAATTTTTTCCCTTTATGTTTTATGGGTATGGGTGTTTTACACCTCAGCACCTCATTTGTGCAGTGCCCACAGAGGCCAGAAGGTGGCGACAGATCATTCAAACTGGAATTACGATGGTTGTGAGCTGTGATGCAGGTTCTCAGAATGCAACCTGTGTCCTTAGGAAGGGTGGGAAGTTCTCTTGACTGTTCAGCCATCTCTCCAGCCGTTTGAGGTTGCCTGAAGGCGGCCCTTGCTTCTTTCAGCTGTCTACATTTGCTTTCATTTTCGTTGGGAGAAGGGTGAATGTGGTATGTGTTCCTCTTTTCCAGATGGCATTCTGGACACTTGCATTTGTCCTGTCCCATCCTGACATCCACAAGACCGTTTTAGAGGACATATCTTCTGTGTTTGGCACTGCAGGTACTAAATCAATTTACGTAACATTTAGTGTTTGCGGTTTGCCTGCTGAATGTCTGCCATGTTTTAGAGCCAGGGACCAGGACTAGGGAGATGAATCAGTTGGTAAAGTGTTGGCTACACAAGCATGAGAACCTGGGTTCAATCCCCAGCACCTTCATTAAGGAAAAAAAGAAAGAAAGGAAGGAAGGAAAGGCAAGGCAAGGCTGGGCATGGTGACACACACTTGTAATCCCAGTGCTTAATATGTAAAATTATGGGCTGTGTTGAGAAAAATTAAAAAAAATTTGATTTTCATTGTATAAAGTATCACGTGAGTTGAAAGTTGTCCCTCCCTTGCCTCCTCTGTAATGGCTGAAAATATCATTTTGAAAATATTTTGTGTGGAGATTTTTTCAAACTCAAGCACACTTGACTAGCCTGGGTTACCTAAGCAGAGCCCAGCCAGTCCAGAAGGTGAACCCAGCGGTACCTGGCTTTATCCTGCAGAGATCTGAGCATTAGTATCACTGAGAACTAGTGATGCTCACAGTGAGATCCCAGCAACACACTGATGAGTATGAGGAAAGCCGTTGCCCTACAGAGAGCTCAGGTCTACAGAGCTGGTGAGAGATGTTCAAAGGCACGTGTCTACAGCGTGCCTACAGGTGAAGAAACAGCACACATCCTCCCTGGCTCATAACCTGTCCCCATTTACCCACGTCTTTCCTGACTTCGGGTTCTTCAGATTTCCGGCCTTGGGGAAATGCAAGGCCAGGTGAGGAATGGTGGGGATAATGTGGAGCCCAAGTGACACAGAGGCCACTACTGGAGGGTGACATTAATCTGAGTGCCTGTGGGACTTGAGTTATAAAGACAAAACCCCTTCTCTCTTCTGTGGCTTCGTTTGTTTTCAGAACCTGAAAACATTCCAGAAACAGAAAACATTTCAGAAACCGAAAAACATTCCTTCCATCAGTGTTTCATGGGAATAGTTGTGCTGTATCGATGATTTCCATTGTAAGTCATCACTGTGGAGTAGAAAACAACTTGTAAAAATATGAAACTTAAAAAGAAAATCAAGTGCATACAGAGGTAGCTCAGCGCTCTCTGAACGAATAAAGTATCTCCAGATTATGCATAAGCAGTAGCAACAGCTCAGAGATTTAGGTGTGGGAGGAGACTACAAGGCCATGAATCTTAGAGCTTGCTATTGAGGAGCATTTCCATGCATTTATACAAAGGAACGTGCCAGTGAAGGAGTATTGGCATATGATGCATCATCATGTATTCCCCAGAAAAACAGACCAATCAGAGATGGTTGGAGAGATGGATAGACCATAGGTTATTGGGTTCATAATTAGATAGATAGTAAATGGACAGATAGCTCTAGAAAGATTTCTTTTTTTAAAGCTTAGTTTTACTTTTAGTTTATACGGATATTCACGTATCTGCTTGTGGCTATCAGTGTGTCCGTGCAGATGCCCACAGAAAATGAGTCACATCCCCTGGAGCTGGAGCAACAGGCTCTTGTGAGCCATCTGATGTGGGTGCTGGGAACTGAACTCGGGTCCTTTGCAAGAGCAGCAGGGCCAAGCTCTTAACCACAGAGCCCAGAGGGGGCTGTGTTAGGAGATGTTGGTTGGTGTGTTTACAGATCCTCAGATGACAGTGTTAGTGGTGTGATCTCACTGAAGTCTGTTCAGTGGATTCCGTGGTTTCTCTAGAACTGGGCGTGGATTCCTTTATACCGGGACACCACGTGCCTCCTGACGTTGGCCAAGGGTGTCTGTGTGCATGTCGGGTGTTTCAGCATTGCACCGGCCATTGAGAGCTGCCTAAGCTCCTGCCCTGTCTGCCTGTACAGGGTCTCAGGGCCAGCCACGGCAGGGTTGGGGTGTTTTCAGGGCTCTCTGGAGTGTGGGTCCACAAGGAATACCGGCGTCCTCAAAGCCACCACAGATACCCGATTCCCCAGGCTTTCGGCCTCACCACTGCAGTGTACCTGGTGTCTGTCCCATCTACTGTCTGCTGCCTCTGGTGGCTGCAGAGGTAAGCAAATGACCTTGAAAGGTTTTCTCCCAGAACCCCTCAGCAAGAAGCTCCCTCCCTGCCTTTCTGCTTCAGAAGTTTGGAAGACATCAACAACGATTGCATTCTTCTGGGAGAAAAAAGAAACAATGATCAGTTTAACACATAAAAAATAAGACCATTAGCAGCTGCCAAATGCTATATACAAAAGAAAAGAGAACCGAGTGTGGACAATTACCAGTGCCAGGAGTGGAAACGTGTGTTGAGGAGGTGAATCAGGCTTGGCCTCATTGGCAAGACGAATTTGACAAGAACTCGAAGTGGCGTGGGGTTAGACAGGTGGACTCCAGAGGAAGGGGCAGCAGAGGTGATCGCACCATATGCCCACAGGAGCAGCGGTTCTGTTCAAACTGTCCTGTCAGTCATTCCACGGCAGAATGTATTAGAAATGGACTCATCGTATGGAGACAGAAACTCCGAGGTTCCGTCTGCGGCCTTTCACTTCCGTGTTTTGTTTGTTTGTTTAACCTCAAGAACATGCCTGGTTCATGGCTTTAACGCTCCATTTTACTAAGCTACCTGCTCCCAAGTCGTTTCCAGAACTTTCTAATATAAAGCGTGTACTGTTGTTGATCACGCAGACACTGGGGAGATGCATCTATCTTCTCCCTTTTCTGCCCCGGAGGCCATCCCTGGTCCTTTCCCTCCTGTGATGTCATCCCTTTCCCCGCGGCGCCTGGCCCCCATGTCTTTCTCCAGCTCTCTGGCTCTGCCTCCCGGGCCCCGCCCCCACCGTGTTGTCAGCAGGGTTTCCCAGAGTCAGCAGCAGGAGCTCAATCCAGCTGACTGAGGGTGGGGATTTTTGTTTATTTGTTCTGTTTTAATACATTTGTTTAAATGTTGCAGGATTTCCAGGGGGGCTGGATATGCTGTGCCTGGAGGGCAGACCCAGAAACTGCTCCCAACCAGGCCACCAACTGTCTGGCAAGCCCAGTATGCCCACTAAAGCTAAGCACACTGTGACACTGGCAGGGACACTAAATGACATTGTGTCCCTGGGAACTTCAGCCTGTGAAATCTGCCATTGGTGCCAGGAAAATCACAAGCTCAGTCTCCATTTCTTCATTTCACTAGCTTCCACCTTCTTACTTCTTTTTATTTTATGTGTAGGTATGTGTCTGTTTGTGTGTGTGTTCACAGGTGGGTATGTATGTGTAAGAGTGTATTCACAGGTGTGCATGTGGTGTGTGTATGTGTATTCACATGTGTGTGTTCACCGGTGTGTATGTATATGTGAGAATGTATTCACAGGTGTATGTGTGTGTTAACAGGTGTGTATGTATGTGTGAGAATGTATTCACAGGTGTGTGTGATGTGTGTGTATTCACAGGTGTGTGTGTTCACAGGTGGGTATGTATGTGTGAGAATATATTCACAGGTGTGTGTGATGTGTGTGTATTCACAGGTATGTATGTATGTGTGAGAATGTATTCACAGGTGTGTGTGTGTGTTCACAGGTATGTATGTATGTGTGAGAATGTATTCACAGGTGTGTGTGTGGTGTGTGTGTATTCACATGTGTGTGTTCACAGGTATGTATGTGTGAGAATGTATTCACAGGTGTATGTGTGTTTTCACAGGTGTTTATGTATGTGTGAGAATGTATTCACAGGTGTGTGTGTGGTGTGTGTGTATTCACATGTGTGTGTGTTCATAGGTGTGTATGTATGTGTGAGAATGTATTCACAGGTGTATGTGATGTGTGTGTATTCACATGTGTGTGTTCACAGGTGTGTATGTATGCATGAGAATGTATTCACAGGTGTGTGTGTGTGGTGTGTGTGTTAGTATGTGCCCTTGCACATGCCTGAGGAGGCCAGAAGAGGGCATTGCATGTTCTAGAGATAAAGTTAACAGCTCCGGACATGGATGCTCTTTCAAAGGTCAAGAGTACCATTCTCGATACCACATCATGTGATTCACAAGCTCCTGTAATTCCCACTCCAGGGCATGCAGTGCCCTCTTCTGGACTCTGTGGGTACTTGCATTCATGTACACATACCCATACGCAGACACAAGACTAAAAATAAATCTTTAACAAATGTCTATTAGAGTCAGACGTTGAGCTGTGCATTTTCACCCTGTTGGTCACTAATTTGTGACTTGGAAAACAAGAGAGATCTTGCCCACAGCCTGTAATTTTTTTTATGATTGTTTTGTGCACCACTGTGTTTGGCTGGAAGGGCACGGAGCACACCGACACTGTAGGGTGGCCAGGTGCTAATGCAGAATGACCTTGACTTTGCTAATGAATATAAACAAGTCTGCAAACCGGTAAAATCAAAATGAAGCCCGGGGTGACGTTCATCGTGAACGTGGCTCTGCCCTCGCTAGCTTCATTAGCTCCTGACTCCCGTTTCATTGCGTTGTAACAGTTGTGCTTACTCCAAGTTTAGACCTTATGGTTCATCATCACTTACTTGCATCTAACTCACAGCTTCTCTCCACTTGGATGCGTTCTCTCTAGCCTCTTGCCAGCCAATAACAGCATTCTTGAAAGATTCCATCATGCCATCTTAGCTAACTTAATAATCTTACTCATCACTCTTCCCCAGCTAGCCCGGGCTTTATGGCTGATCACCAGAGTTATGACTGAAATGGATCTTTTTGGCCTTTTATGTGGCAAATTGTCCAAAATAATGAAGTAAAGGATCAAATAACACAGCCAAGATTCCTCCAGTGGAGTTATGGAGTTATGGACACAGAATAGTTGTTTTATTAAAAACTTCTCGGCTCCCACTTGAAATCTGATGACCCGAATCTAATGTGGGAGTTTGGAGGCTAATGCATATTATTCAGGGAATATTTCACAGGACTCATTTCCCTCTGTTAGCCTGGCCTTTACAGCTAGCTTGGACCCAGGATGCAATAAACCACACAACAGCGTATTGCAACAGTATTTCTTAGTCACCAGCCTTGAAAACTGTATCTAA